TGAATACACCAAATCCTGTTAATGGACCATTACTCACCCTCCATTCTCCTTTTGTTGTGACCTATCTCATACAATAGGAAAGAACACTGGCTCTAAAGTCATAGAAACTGGGTGTAAATCCTACTCCTGGGCTTATGACCTATGTGACCTTGGGTGAATCACTTACTTTCCCTCTGCCTCAGTTTCCTCATGTGTAAAGTGAGAAGATTGGATTCAGTAGCCTCTGGTGCTTCAAGTCTATGATCTATGAAATAAGAATATCCTACCAAGACCCAGGGACCACCCTCCTCTCTGTTTACTGAGACTGCATTGCATCCTTCCTACTTTAGTGAAGAGTGCCCAATAGTAACCTTTGCAATGAACCCCTCTTCCTTTGCTTCCATTCTCCCATGCCACAGCCCCTTGGTGCCTCATTTTAGATCTCAAGTCTTCCCTTCTGTGAATTAACACTTCATAATAATAAAACTTTGGCTTCAAGCATTAATGGCTGACCTGAATGTACATGAAACTACCTTTAAGTCATGAAATAAGGCTCAGAGTAAATCATATTTGCTCACATCTGACCTAAATGCCTTCTTAGATACTCATTTCTCACCCCACAAGAATTTGGAGTTTTGAGAAATAATTGATGGAATGACCCAGTGAGTGTGCCAGTGAGATGCTCTCTTTGAAGATCCAGGAAAGTTGTTTTTAGGTAACTTGGAAATGATAAATTAGACATCAAATTTTACATTTCAAAGGTATTGGTGTTACTTTTAAAGATCATGGGCTTTATTACTAAAGCCATAACTTCTAGGAATAAGAAAGTGATGCTGCTCTGCTCTGGTCAAAACACATCTGCATGATTGGGTTCAGTTCTGGGCACCATGGTGTAGGTAGGACATGGAGAAACTGGAGAGTATCCTGGTCAAGCAGAGTGGCGAAGGGCATGGAGCCCGTGCCTATAAGAATGAGTGGAAGGAACAGGAAATGTTTAGGCTAGAGAAGAGAAAATTCAGTGGGGATGTGAGAAATCTCCTCAGGCACTCAAAGCAGGGGTGAGAATTGTTATTTGACCAGGAGTAAAGAGTGGACATTGCAAAGGGGCAGATGTAGGCTCGATGGCAAGGAAAGCTTTCTAACAGTGGGAGCTGTCCCGAAACAGAAGGGGCTGCCTTGAGAAGAGATGGGATGCCCCTCTTTGGAGGTCTTCCAGCAAAGACTGGAAGCCAGGACCACGTATGGAGTATGTCATGTAGGTGATTTATTTTTTTTTTCCAGTATGAGTTGGGCTAGATGGTCACTGAGCTCTCTTGCAAATTCTGAAATGCCTTGATTTGGGGTGACTGAAATGCTGCAAAGAGGCTTATTTGGAGGTAAAGGTGCTTTTTCTGGAAGAGAATTTTCACTTAATTCATTGGATACTGAAAGAGTAAATCCATTTGCTTCCCAAGGTTTTGCATTTCTTGAGTGCACATTTTGTGTATTATTAGGTAAAATGTAGGCTCCTTGAAAGCAGTGATTATTTCATTTTTCTCCCACGTAGTCGGTGCTTAAATGCTTGTTCAAATAAGTCTGAAATTAAGCCTTCCCTTCTTCCATTTTGTGAACTGTGGGGAATTAGTGTGGATGCACTAGTGGATGGTGTCAGGTAGACTTTCTCAGACTTTCTGGGTGTGTTTCTGAGCCAGAGAAGTGAGAAATATCCCAAAGGGAGGCTGAGTCCTCTATGTTGTACTAGCCCCTGACCCGAGGGCTAGCTAGCCACTGGTAACTAAGACGGGCTTCCTGCCTTCTTGGAGTTTATAATCCAGAGCAGTGATAAAAACTGGCAGAGAAAAAAATGGAATATGCCAAATGTATAAAGGAAATATGATATCGAGATGAGGGATGGATTGTTTTTCAATGGGAGGTGATGAGGTCCCTAGTATCCAGTGCCAGCTTGCCCTGACGGAAAGGGCATTTATCTTAGAAGACTAGGACTTGCCAGTAGCAGTGAGGTGGCACAGCGCATAGAGTGCCTGCTCCAGCTGTTCAGGAGGACTTGAGTTCAAATCCAGCCTCAGACACTTCCTAGCTGGGTGGCTCTGGGCAAGTCACTTCACCCTGTTTGCCTCAGTTTCTGTACCTGTAAAATGAGCCGGAGAAGGAAATGGCAAACTGTTCAAATATCTCTGCCAAGAAAAGCCCAAATGGGCTTGCAAAGAGTCAGACACAACCAACTGACAAAACAACAAGAAAAGAAAAAAATGAAATTATCATATAGCCCCTGTGGGGCTATTGTCGCTGCACCCCAGCACCAGGAGCAGTGCCTGCAGCCCTCTAGTCCACACTTAATGAAAAATGTGTCCATTGGGGGCAGCTAGGGGGTGCAGTGGATACACTTACTAGATGCGTGACCCTGGGCAAGTCACTTAACCCCAATCACCTCCCCCCAAAAAAAGACAAAAGAAAAAAAAATCTCTTAAAAAAGGGGGGGGCAGCTAGGTGGACACTTACTGGCTGTGTGACCCTGGGTAGGTCACTTAACCCTGATTGCCTCACTAAAAAGCAAAACAAAAAATGTGTCCATTGGTTTGTTGGTCTGAAGAGATGGATGAGAATATAGATGTGTCAAAGGCTGGAGAATAGAAAAGTATCTCCCAGCAAAGAAAGAAGGACTTTTGAACCCATGAAACTCATATCAATGGAGCCTTACAGAACTGAAGGGCAGTCCACATCCAAAGAAAGAATTATGGAGTTAGAATGCAGATCAAAGCATACTATTTGCTATTGTTTTTTCCTTGTGTTGAGATTTGTTTCCTCTTTCTGGTGGTTCCTCCTATTGGTTTTAATTCTTCTTTATAACATCACTAATATGAAAATATGTATAATAGGAATGTATATGTAGAGCCTACACCAGATTGCATGCCATCTGGAGGAGGGAGGTGGAGAGGGAGGGGGAGAAAAATTTAAAATGCAAAAGCTTATGGAAGTGATTGTTGATAAATTAAAACAAATTAATAAAAAATTTAAAAAAAAAGAATTGAAGGGTGAGCTTCTATTGGCCCTTCAATAAAAGCCTGCAATTTGGGCCTAAAAGTGTAGTCAAGTGATCTCATTCACAGCCCAATTTGCTGACCTTGAGAAAATAAGATACAGAAGAAGTACAGGACAAAAGGAACCTTGTCCCAGATTTAGAGACCTAGCTCCCAACACCCCACAATCCCTAGCAAAGTAAGTGATGAGAAATTCTATTCCAAAGGACAGAGTCCCCAGTTTGTATGGAACCCCACGTGGTGCAAGGCCCCATGTATGGTGAAGGCTGTCATAGTTTGTCTTGAAAGGAAGCTATCAGAGACCATCTCTGAGAAACTCTGCTCAATGGTATCACTGCAGAATACAGCAGCCCTTATGAATCACTTGTAGTGGTAGTGTCCAAGACAAATGGAAAGATATGGATATGTGTTGGTTACTGAACTTTGAACAAAAGATTAATGTGGACCAGGATACCATGGCACAGGTACAAGACACCCTGGATTGTCTGCTAGGCAGCCAGTGATTTTAATTTTGGATTTTCCTTGTGAATACTATCAAATAATCGATCAATGAGCATTTATTAAACACCTACCATGTACCAGGCACTATCAGATTCCTATAGCTGAAGGAGACAAAGAAAAGTCTGCTTTCATGGTACAGAGACTTCGATGGTGGACCAGCCAACTCATACAAAGTTATTAAGAGACTGGGCAGCATGCCAGTTTACAAAAGAGCATCAGAGAATGGAGGGGGCCCCATAAGGACTATTTATCACAACCACCTCATGCCCATAGGAGAATTAGTTGGACTTTCCAATGAGCAGGTGGAGAGAGCTGATAAACACTCACCAGGGAAAAGCTTGAGAGAAAGAGACCACCAGCTGTACAAGACTTTCTGACCCAGATATGGACACTGACCGTGATGGAGCCAGTGAAGGAAACTGTGTATAACATAGGGCAGGAGAATCAAACCTGGAGTAAGCTCCTTTCATGCCCCAAACTGCTACAGAAACTCATAGCTTATATAGATGCAACCACAGAGTCTGAATAGACTGACAGCTGACCTGGAATGGCTGCCAGCCCAGATGTAGACACAGGTGTAGAATGATTCTGAGGGCCAGCCCACACCAGCTGATAGGACTGGTACAGGAGCAAAGAGATCAGTCAATGGCAGGAGAACCAGGTGGCTTAGATCAATCACTAGGTGAAGTGATGATGTTGTGGGTGAACCTGAAAGTGTAGTGCTACGTGTCTTGAGATGTTCTCATGTGGAAAGTGTCCTGCATGTGATTACATGTGTTTGTTGCTATACATGTGAATGGCTAAGTGCTGAGGATGTTTTTTATTTGCTATCACATTCATCTGGTCATGTTTGGTGTTATATTCAAGCCATGGCGAAGTTTGTTAATTGTTGTATAGGCTGGTGCTTAGAGTTCAGTTGTGTTTTATGTATGGGCCCATGGATATCATTGCAGCTGGCTAATTATTTAGTTATAGCTTTTGATTGCTTGCTTGAGATATGGGGAGATAAGGTATATGCATGTTTGTCTATAGGTATAGACACACATAAATGTATATGTGTGTATGTATGTATATATCCATATCTATCTATTTCTATCTCTATATGAAAGGCAGCCGCTGCCTCCAAGGAGTACGATGTTCTTCAGAGCGGAAACCAAGAAAAGTCACTGATGAAGAATCAGAGTTACCGTCCTCAGAGTTTCCATCAGGTTAGACCCTCCCCCTTCCCTTCTCCTCCCCCTCCCCCTCCTCCTCCTCACCCCAGGCCCCATGCCGGATCTCCCAGTACTCTTCTGGGCTTTGTACACATCCTCATTGTTGTTATTGTTCACTCCCGTCTGACTCTTCATATCCTCATTTGGGTTTTTCTTGGCACAGATACTGGAGTGGTTCATCATATCCTTCTTCAGCTCATTTTACAGATGGGCTGAAGTGACTTGCCCAGGGTGGCACAGCTAGTGAGTGTCTGAGGCTGGATTTGAACTCGAGTCTTCCTGACTGCAGGCCTGGAAGTCTAACCACCGCACCACCTCGCTGCCCTTCTGCACATCCCCCGATTGGGCTAAAGAAGTTGAGCATATTTTAAAGTTTCTGACTATCCCCAGCCTGTTTCCTCCTTTACAAATTCATTCGTGTTATGTACACATCTGTCAGTTTGTGGCTCAGCTCTGGGAGCTGAGAAGGGCTGTTCATTTGTGAGAACACGGCCCGACTCCAAAGTTTGCATAGTTTTTATTTTCACTTTCAGTACCAAAGACCTTAGCTAAAGGCTGACAACCGCAGAGATGGTGGTGAACAGACTCCGCTTGACGGTAAGAATCCGGGTCTGGGGGCATCTGGACAGGGACTGCCTGCCCTCTGTCTCCCTCCTCCGAGCCCCCCTAAAGGAGAAGGGGGACGGACTGCTGTAGTCACGACTCCAGAAGTCAGGGAGGAGGATTCAGAGGAAGATCCCGAGCTAGCTGGGAAGGCTCTCACCGTTTTCCTCCCTATTTCCGAGCTCCCTCCTCCTCCTCTTCCCCTCACCCAGTCTTTCTCTTCCATTCCCCTCTCCCTATTCCCTGACACCCGGTGCCTCCTCCCCTCATTCCTTCCTCCTCAGTCCCTTCCCACCCTCTCCCTGCCCCTCAACTGGACACAAAAGGAATCCAAAATCCAGATTCCTCCCTCTTGAATTTACTGACGGGCGGAGGGGAAGAAGACTAGAAGGATGGTGGAGGAAATTAGAAGCCTGTCGAAGGAGAGTGAGACGCTGTGTGGTAGGGAGAGAACAGGACGGGATCTCTGAGGAGAGGGAGGCCAACAACTTCCTGCAGTTGTTGCTAAGTCATTTTTCAGTCGTGTCTGACTCTTCGTGGCCCCATTTGAGGTTTTCTTGGCAAAAGTGTTGGAGTGGTTTCCCATTTCCTTCTGCAGCTCATTTTACAGGTGAGGAAACTGGGGCAAACAGGGTTAAGTGACTTGCCCAGGGTCACATAGCTAGTAAGTGTCTGAGGCTGGATTTGAACTCAGGTCTTCCTGACTCCAGGCCTGGCAATCTATCCACTGAACCATTTAGCATTTTACAGATTAGAAAACCAAGGCCTAGAAAAGCTAAAGAAATTCTTTGAGGTCACTCACCCAAGTAAAAGCCGAAGAGAGACAATGTAACTCCAAAGGGCAGTTGTCTCTTACAACCTCCTAGCCATCTTCTCCCTTCTGCATTATTTCTCCCTCCCCCTTCTCACCTTCTTTCCTTTTTACACTTTGTTCTAAGTCTGGGTCATTAGGTACAGAAATAGAGAGGGATAAATATGAAAGTGAAAATAAATTAAAAACTGGACATAGGCAGACGTGCTGGGCTTGAAAGTTCATCGATACACGGCTCTCTCCCAGAAGAGGGAAATCCCTCCACTGATGTAGGTCGGCACTTTCTCTACAATCTAGAACCTTCCAGAGAGCTGCCAAGGGCACTGAGAGCTTGGGAGATTTGTCCAGGCTCCCACTGCCAGGATGCCTGTTTGTCCAGTGCCCAATGTCCTCCAAAGAAGCAGTGTGCTGGGGAGAGAGCCAGGCTCAAAGTCAGGAAGACTGTGGTTCAAGTCTTCGGATGCAGTGCCCCATGTGTGTGTATATGTATATGTATATGTATATACAGGAAGAGAGACGAGAGGGGCAGCTAGGTGGCACAGTGGATAGAGCACCGGCCTTGAAGTCAGGAGGACCTGAGTTCAAATCCGACCTTAGACACATAACACTTACTAGCTGTGTGACCCTGTGTAAGTCACTTAGCCCCATTGCCTAGCAAAAAATTAAAAAAATTATTTAAAAAAAAAAGAAAGAGAGAAGAGAGACAGAGGGAGAGAGAAGAATATATAATGGGAAATGAAGGTGAGGTAAAACAAATGAGGTCAATAATATTTATTCTGTATTTGAACATATGAAAATTAGATATTGGATTAAACAGATCCTTGGGTCACAAGGACAGCCCCCAGTCTCTATGTTCTCCACTTCACAAGCTGGGTTCTAGCCCCTGGCCCTTTGATCACCTCCTATTCTTCATCTCACCCATTTGGATTAGGCCACACTGTGGGCCTGAGCCCAGTCCAATTTTGAAGGCCCATGAGTTATATCAGAAAAATGTGTACTCTTCTAACAGAAAGGTCAATGAAAAATTCAATAATAAAGCCAGATATGTGTATGTATGCTGGAGACAATTGTTTACTTAAAAAATATATAAACTGAGAAATGTAGTTTTCTCCCCCTTTGCTTTTGTAAGGTGTGTTTAGAGGCTAATTAGGAGATGGACACTTTTTCCTTTTTAGAGTGGTACCAAGAAGCCAGCCCCCGGCTCTGCTGAGCTCTGGTCTCATGAAGGTAGCACAGTACGCAGAGCCCTGGGTTCAGATTCTTTTAGCCTTTACCCACTGTGTGACAGTGGACCAGTTACTTCACCTCTCTGGGTCTCAGTGTCCTCATCTGTAAAATAAGAGAGGTGCACTAGGTGATGTCAGAGGTTTCCTGTCATTCTAGAGGTATGATGTAGCTACATCCCTGTAGGCTACCATCCCGTGAGGAAAGTTCCTTTGGGGTCTGCTCCTTTGATTGTGAAGGAAAAGGGAATGTGATTCAGGCTCCAGCCTCTTTGACCTGCCTCTGCTGGGCTTGGTCCACTCACCTGCCCCTCCACACCGCCCTCTACTTGTCAACTAGATGGAACCAAGAGGCAGCCAGGTGGTGCTTCTGGTGCCTTGTTGGACAGCACCAAGTTTCTCAGAAAGGAAATCAGGGCAGCAGAAAGAGCAGTAGTTTGGCAGGCAGAGGCCCCAGATGAAACTTTACTTCTCTGCAGGACCTTGGGCATGTCACCTTACCGCCCCTCCCCCCAACTTAGAGTGTGAGCCCTTTGAGAGCAGAGACTGTCTTTGCCTTTCTTTTTGTCCCCAAGTCTTATCTCAATGCCTGGCACATTTTTGCTGTTGTTCAGTCATTTTCAGTCATGTCCAACTGTCTCTGACCCCATTTGGGCTTTCTTGGCACAGAGACTGGAGTGGTTTGCCATTTCTTTCTCCAGCCCATTTTACAGATGAGGAAACTGAGGTACCAGGGTTAAGTGACTTGCCCAGGGTCACACAGCTACAAAGTGTCTGAGACTGTCTTTGAACTCAGGTTTTCTTGACTCCAGGCCTGGTGCTCTATGTACCATGCCACCTAGCTGTCCCCCTGACACATAGTAGGTGCTTAATAAATGCTTGTTGACTTTTCCTCACCTCTCTGAGAATAAGCTTTCTTATTCCCAAAGTAAAGGGGTCAGATTAGAAATTAGAGGCTGTTCCTGGTTGTTTTTTTTTGGGGGGGGCAGGCATGGACTCCTTTGGCAGCTCCATGAGGTCTATGACTCCTTGCAAATCAAGTTTTTAAATGCATAAAATAAAAGAAAGAAGAAAGCAAGCATTGATTAACTGCCTAGTTTGTGCCAAGCACTGTGACTTTAAGCACTTTATCTTAACTTGTATTCATTGTGTCCCTTAGGCCCCTCCTTTCCCCACTCCGTTAGAGATAAAGACCCCTTAGAAGTTTTAGGTGGAGCAAGTTTGACAAGCAGCCTGTTCAAATGAGGAATAATTCCCCTTTACAGCCCTCTGGCAGGGCTTACACCTCCCTTCACCTCTCCATTGTCTGTTAAGTTCTGATCAGGCTTGTAGGAGACAGTCCTACAACATCATTTGGAGAGGGGCAGAGTGGATGGAGTCAGGAAGACCTCAATTTGTATCCTGCCTCACACATTTACTAGGTTAACCTTCCAGCCTTGCTTTTCCTACCTATAAAATGGGTATAGTAATAGCACCTCCTTCACAGAGTTGTAACATTCAAATGAAGCATGCAAAGTTCTCTGGAAACTGTTGATGTGCTACATTAAGTGTGAATTAGTCATGATTAAAACTACATCATATCTGCGTCCATGCCCCTCTCTCCTACACTCCCTCTTTCCCCCCCAGCCTTCCCAGGTTGGTGCTTTTTAAAGTTACAGACTGGTTAGACTCTCTTAGAGATTAGATCACAGGATCCTAGGTCTAGAGCTGGAAGGGCTCTCTGAGGCCTTCAATCTCCTCATTTTACAATTCAGGAAACTGAGAGCAACAAAGGTTAAATGACTTATCCAGGGCAGCACAGTAAGGGCCTGAGGCAGGATTCTAACTCAAATCTTCTGGCTCCCATTCCTGTGCTTTCTCCAGTACATCCTGCTGTCTCTCCACCCCCTCATTTTACAGATGGGGAAACTGAGGCCCCAAGAGGGTAAGTGGCTAGCCCACAGTCCTCTAGCCAGTGAGTGACAAGGTCAAGATTAGCCCAGTTTTCCTGACACCCTGGACTACACTCTTTCCCTCACCCTCATTACCTCCTTCTTTCCTTTCCCAAGATATTCAGCATCATTACAACTCAGCTCATGCCCTTCAAGGAGGCACTGGAGTGTATGGTGGGAGAGTATAAAGTAGATGGGCAATGCTGCCCCACCTGCCATCCAGGTAAGTCAGAAAGTTTCCTTCTCTAGGACAAATCACTCTCTTTCTCTGGTAAATGACTGCCTCTTCCAGGTTCTCTTCCTTTCTTTATGTAGCCATTCGAATTTCAGAATCATTGAATCTCAGAGCTTAGATGGGCCATGGAGGGCATCTCAGAGCTCAGAGGGAAGGTGAAAGGCTTCTCAGAGGTTAGAGGGAAGGTGAAAGGCATCTCAGAGCCCAGATGGGCCATGGAGGGCATCTCAGAGCTCAGATGGGCCATGGAGGGCATCTAGGATTGCTCAGAGGGACCATGGAGGGGCATCTCAGAGCTCAGAGGGGCCATGGAGCTAAGAGAGAAGGTGAAAGGCATCTCAGAAGTTAGATGCTGAAAGGCTTATTGGAGCTTAGAAGGACCATGGAGGGCATCTCAGAGGTTAGAGGGGCCATGGAAGGCATCTAGCAGCTTAGGGGGCCATAGAGGGCATCTAGGAGCTCAAAGGGAAGGTTAAAGGCATCTCAGAGGTTAGAGGGAAGGTGAAAGGCATCTCAGAGCTCAGATGGGCCATGGAGGGCATCTCAGAGCTCAGAGGGAAGGTGAAAGGCATCTCAGGTTAGATGCTGAGAGGCTTATTGGAGCTTAGAAGGACCATGGAGGGCATCTCAGAGGTTAGAGGGGCCATAGAAGGCATCTAGGAGCTCAGAGGGACCGTGAAGTTTGTCTCAGAGCTTAGCAGAAAGATGGAGGGGCATCTAGCCTGATCTTTTCCCCAACTTAAGAATCTCTTCTTGAATACTTTAGGAAAGGGATCCTTACTACCTTATAAGGCAGTTGTTCTTATTAATGGACAGGACAAATTTATTCAGCCAGCAGGCTTTCATGGAATGCTTCTTGCACGCAGAGTTTAGAGTTAGTTGTGGTCTAAGGCTATAAAGGGTTTAATGCAGGACTGTCTGGGCTGGAAGGAGGACAGTTGGGTGGTCATTGAGGTAAGAGAGGGATAAGGAAGAAGTCCCCCAGGGCACATCTCTCATTTCCTCTGCCTTCTCCATGGAGTTGAGACAGGTGGGACCTAAGACACTTATTCAGCAAATGCTGATGCTGGAGAGACTCGTTACCTTTGTCTAGATCCCTGATTCCATTCACCTCATCACAATTTCCTGTTCCTGGCCCTTGGACCCTTCATGCCATTCCCTCATCTGTGCATTGTCCACATAATGAGGGGCCCCTTATGTCTGGAATGCCCTCCTTACCTCAGCCTTGTGGAACTCCTGATTGCCTTCAACAGACATCTCAGATATCACCTCTCCAGAAGATCTTTTCTGATTCTCTCTCATTTTTTAAAAATAGTATTTATATATTTTTTTACATTTAAAAAAATTTTGAGTTCCAAATTATCTCCCTTCCTCAGCCCTTCCTCCACTCATTAAGAGACGCAATATATCAGTTATACACGTGAAGTCACACAAAAGATATTTCTGTATTAGTCATGTTGCAAAAAAAAGCTAGAAGAAGAAAATGAAAAAAATATACTACATTTTGCACTAAGAATTCATCTCATTTTCTCTTTCTCTGTCTCTTCTCCCTCCTTCTCTCTCTCTGTCTCCTCTTTCTGTCTCTCCTTGTCCATCTCTTATCTCCTTTCCTCTCCTCTCTCCTACCCCAAATCACTCTATGTATTTGGTATGAATTTGTATTTATTTATCTTCATTTTCATTTTCTTTTCTTTTCTTTTTTTTTTTGGCTAGGCTATGGGGTTAAATGACTTGCCCCAGAGTCACACAGCTAGTAAGTGTTACGTGTCTGAGGCTGGATTTGAACTCAGGTCCTCCTGAATCCAGGGCCGGTGCTCTATCCACTGGGCCACCTAGCTGCCCCCGTATTGATTTAGCTCTGTGCATATTACATTCCTATGCTAGAATGTAATCTCCTTGAAGGCAGAGACTGTTTTTTTTTCTTTTTATCCAGAAGACCAAACTTGTGCCTTGAAGATTTGTTGTAATCAGTGTTTGATCTTTATAATCTCATCTGAGGTTTTCATGGCAAAAATACTAAAGAGATTTGCCATTTTCTTTCATTTTAACAGACTGAGGCGAACAGGGTTAAGTGACTTGGCCAAGGTCACACAGCTAATAAGTGCCCGAGGTCAGGTTTGAACTCAGATCCTCCTGATTTCAGGCCTGGTGCTCTGTCCACTGTGCCACCTAGCTGATCAGATCGAGCCTTGCAGATAGAGAGAGCTTAATAAGTTTCTGTTGCATTTCATTGCCTGCTGAGGCCTTAGGCATGTTATTCTGAATAAACTGTAAAGCATACAAACTTTGATTCTGCATCTTGTACCTCCACCATCACCCTCTTAAGAACCATCCTGCCCTACTTTGTGTTTTCCTTGTTCCCCCATGGCAGTGACCATCGAGGACAGCCTAGATGGGGCCTAAGATTCCGGACGTCTCTTGGCCTAAATTTACTGCACATCGGAGTGGGATGGGATCTTAGGGACCAGCCTGGCTCCTAGAGCTCCCTCTCATTGCCTGTGTGACCTTGGGCCAGTCACTTAGTTTCCACATCTATAAAACAGGGGTATAAGACTAGGTGACTTCTAACTTTCCGTGTTCTGAAGTTGTCCTATCTCTGAATCCTATGTTCTGAGATCCTTCCTATCTCTGACATTCTAGGTTCTAAGGACTGTCCCAGCTCTGACATTAAGGCTCATCCTTGCTTTGACAGTCTATGTTCTGAGATACTTCCTATTTCTGTTCTAAGGGCCTTCCTACTTCTAACACTCTGTATTCTAAGATTGCCCTTCCACCTCTGAATCCTATGTTATAGAAGTCTGAAGTCTCTTCTAGAGTTCTTTTTCATTTTGATGTTCTAAGTGCCTGTTCTGAAGTCCCTTTCAGTTTTGACATTCTGGGTTCTAAGGTCCTATCGATTGGGGTATGAATGTGTACTATCCTAATTTTCATAGCACACCATCCTAAATTTCATGGGTGGCCTTGGTAGCTTCCTGGCTTTGGGCTAGGGTGTGCATGTGGTAGTATCAGGGTAGCACTGGGGGGAGAGTGGGGCTGGAGTGAAGTGTCTTCTGCAGGGAGGCATCCTGTGCTTTGTTCTTGATGCTGACTCTTTAATACCATTAGGTTACAGGGTTCATGAGACATGCAGTCTAATGACAGGCACCACATGTGTGCCTTGCGATCCCGGGACCTACACAGCACACCAGAGTGGCCTGAAGGACTGTCTCCAGTGTAAAGTCTGTGACCCTGGTAAGGAGTGCTTCAGAGGCCTTGGGGTCAGCTAGGATCCTGGATCTTACCCAAAATCCATCCTCTCCTGAGTTCTGACCTGAGTCTTCTAGTTTCCCTGGAAAGTAGGAGCTGGGTCCAGAGAAAGTCATCAGTCTCGGACCTACCCAGACCAGATAGGGCAGGGGGAAGTCGACAACGCAGAGAGTTGGAGCTGGACCAGGTTAGGAAGAGAGGCAGTGAGAGTGCTGTGCTGGTAGGCCGGGGACCTGGGTTCCATTCCAGGCCTTTCCTTGTGTGACCTTGGACAACCATGTCCATTCTATGGACCTCAGTTTGCCTATCTATAACATAAGGCACTTGGATTAGTTCCTTAGTTTCTAGGGCATGTTATTTCCCACCTAGGAAACATAGGATAGTTTATTCACACAACCCTAGAACACAAGACTATCCAAACTAGAAGGGACCTCAGAACAGAGTCCTTAAAATGTCTAGGATTCTGGAGAAGGCTATCAGCAGAGCTGGTCCTTGGGAACTTCTGAAAGAGGTTGAGTTTGTCCCTAGAGCCCTAGAAACACCTTAAATGTACCAGTCTACACCTTCCTGACCTCTAATCATTGGAGTAGGAGGGTTGTCTCATGACCTGGTGTTTCCTCCTGGCTGCTCAAAACCTCTCCCTGTAACCCCCAGGTAGGCTTGTCCTCCCCAGCCGTGCTCTAGTATTTCTAATTACCTTTCCACCTCTCCGCTCTCTTCTCACGATTCCCCTGCCTTCAGCTGCCTGCCAGGGAGGAATTATGCTAAGCAATTAATTCACACAAGATTGTGGATGATTGTTGATGTTGCCCTTTCCCAGGGTATTTAAAAAGTAGGTTCTTGTTCACTTAAAAGCATGAATTTCTTTTTTTTTTATTCAAGGTTTTATTGTTACACAGATTTCCTTTTTTTAAGAGCACAAACTAGTGTAAATTTTTACAGCATAGCTATCTATGCACATCATGTCACCACAGAACTGTTAATCATTACTTCAGAAATTGAACCATCAGTTTCATTCATGCAGAAGAGCAAGCTGGGAAAATTTGTTCATTTGGAACCATATTATTGTGAATTTCACAGCCACATGATTAATTTTTGGATTAGATGGACTCTTGAGTATACTAAACTGAGTTTTTTCTTTTGCATAAATAATACCAATTTTTCCCTGATGTAACTTTAGTCATTTTATAATCTAGAAATGATTGATACATAGCAATATATTGTACCCTCCATCTGTAGTATCCATTATTTTAAGACAAGCAATAATCATGGTATGGGATGCTACTTAAATACGTGTAAAACATACTGTACAAATATACTTGCTTTACCAATTTTTCTCTGACTATCAAGTGTCCCTCCAAAATATGACCAGTGAAGACAAAGTATACTATTAAATATGGCTTCCAGAACAAAGACCCTCTAGCAAGAATCAATCTATTTACAAAAAAAATTCTTTTTTTTTAAAGTTTCACTTGAAACAAAATTTCTACATAGTGGTTGTAGATAATACACAATTTTCTTTGTTTTACCATTTTAGTTCTTTAAAACAGAAGTTACCAGGTAAGATCCAGAATGGCACTTTGGGCTTTGAGCTCCCCTGGATTCTGTGTTTTCAGTTTTTGAATCTCATTTTTTTGGTGCTGTTATTTACTGGTGTGGGGATCTGTGATGGGCGGGCTGAACTGCTATCTGCACTGCTTTTCCTAGGACTTGGATTGTAATTGAAAGGAGTCCCCCTGGCAGCAACAGTTCCACTAGGTGAACTGTGCTTGCTTGAATTAGTGGAACTGAATGGTGTATGCTCAGCGATAGAACTTTCACTAGTCTCTGGTGTAGGAACAAGATTGCCTTGTCCTGATTTTGTCTCAGTAGCTAAAGGCATGAGTTGCTAAAGATGAATTGTCACCACAGTGATGGAGGACAGTTTTCAAGAACAAAAGACATCCCCTCCCCATGATCCCACCCCACTTTACCCCTGAAGCTCAGGTGGGTCAGGGCTGCATCAAGCTGGAGAAGGGGGTGTGTATCCCTGTTGGTGGGGGGATGGCAGAGAGGGAAGGCAGGTGAATGCTGGGTGGTGGAGCTGGCCCTGCTGCCCAACTCATCTACTTTGGCCCTTAATATTCTGGAACTTTGACTTCTCTATTTCAATAGGCAGTTTTGCATAACTGGGAAATCTGCTTAACCATGTCAAATCTCTTGACAATGTAAAGTCCTGGGGACTCTCCTTGTTCTTGCTCCCCCATTTCCCCTTTTCTTCTCCCCTCAGGGACTCTGATCTGCTCCCTTCAGGGTCTCTCCCCTCCCTAGCCCTATGGAAGGGATCACAAGATGACAGATCCAGAGTTGGGAAGGACCATACAGGTCATCTCATCCAGGACCCTCATTTTACTGAAGAAACTGACTCCAGAGAAGTTGTGACATGTCCAAAGTTACAAGGCAGTGAATAGTAGAGTCAGGAATGCAAATTAAGAATTTGCTCACAGCTTTTCTTCTTTCCCTCCTTTAGTCTCAGGCACATCTCTTTTTAGAGTTTGAAAAGGTTATCATCCCCAATATTGACATCAGGTAATGGACCAGGAAGAGTCCTAGATGTGAAGTCAGAGATCTGGGTTCAAATCCCAGCTCTGCCATTTACTATCTGTATGATGTTGGGCAAGCCAATCAAGAAATATTCATTAAGCACCTACTATGTGTCAAGCACTTGGCTAAGTCCTGGGGATACCAAGAAAGAGTCTTGAGAAACTCACAATCTAATGGGGGAGACACCATGAAACAACTCTGTACAAACATGAGATAAGCAGGGTAAAGTGGTCATAATCTCAGAAGAAAGGCACTAGCCTTAAGGGAAATCAGGAAAAGGTAACTAACCTTTCTGGGCTTCCATTTGTTTATCTTTAAAATGAGAGGCTTAGATGCAGTAATAAATCAGGTTCCTTCCAGCTCTAAATCTGTTCTCTATGCATTTCACTGGGAGACTCAAGCTCTGGTAGCCCAATGGTACAGTGGGTAGTGTTGGGTTTGGAGTCAGGAAGACCTGAATTCAAGTGTGACCTCAGATACTTCTAACTTTGTGACTTTGGAGAGGAAATCAGACTCCCCATGAGGTCCTCAGTTAGTTGGGAGGTGAGCTGGGGCGGGGGGTGGAAGTACCCAGGACTGTCTTCAGTCTCAGCTGCGTCTCACAGGAAGCCACCTGTCTCTGCAGGGGTTCCCCTCTCGGCTAGGGCAGATCATAAGGGAATAGGAGGGGCAAAGCCTGCATTAATGTGCCTTATCATGACAGTGGAGGTACCAGGAACACTTTCTCTGCTCCTTCCCACCTGCCACTTCTGCTTCTGCTGGCTTTGTTAAACCAGGCACAACAGCCTCCCCAAATCTTGAGGATGGCCTTGGGGAACCATTCACTGTTGCTGCTTCTAGGTTCAGAACTTAAACTCTATGCAACTCAGAGACAGGCCTGGTTGGGGAGCGTCTCTCCCAAGCCCACCTCTCCATACCACGCCTTTCCTACCCTTAGTCCCCAGCACACACACTCAGCCCAGGATCCCTTGACTCCACTTCCCCAAGAAGGTCAGACTCATAGGATCATGGGATTGATAAACTGAGAGGGCACTTGGAGCTCATCTCACCTGGTCTTTTTCTGCTTCTGTGACTGGGGGCAAGTTACTTCCTTGGGCATCAGTGTCCTCAGCTAGAACAGGAAGGGTTTGGACTTATTTGTGCCCAAAGCTCTTTGTCTCATGTCTTAAGATCTAAGTCAATGGCTTCCTTCTGCAGAGGAAATTAAGGCCAAGTCACTCAGTCAATGAGCATTTATTAGCTATCTACTGTATGCCAGGCACTAGATTAAGTGCTGAGAAGGAAGGAAGGAGAAAAGGAAGGAAGGGGAGGAGAAAGTGGAGGGAGGGAACAATTATTTATTATGGGCCTACTATGTGCCAGGCTGGGGATACGCAGAAAGGCAAAAGACATTATGTCTTCACTAAGGAAAAGTGATATATATATGAAGTTGCACAGGTGGAATGTTTTCTCCTTGAGGGCAGGAGTGGTTCTGTCTTTGTCTTTGTAACCCATCCTCAGTACAGGGCTTTGTGCTTTCTTTCTTCTTTTTCTTTTTAGAGAGTGATGGTGGGGGGCTCCAGGCCTGTGATTTCACTTGCCCAGGGAAGAATATTACTTCTATCAAGGCATGTGGGTGCCTTATCTGCAGCTCATAGTGTAAGAGAGGCCTAGAGTGACTTGTCTAGCATCCTTTGCTGCTGAGCCCAAAGCTGAGTTGGCCACCTCAAAGTGCTCCCTCCCTGGACCTTTCCCAGCAGAGGCTAGGCGACCTTGGGTTGGGAGTGGGATACAAGGGATTCTTGTTTACAAGTAAGTCAAACTAGAAGGCCTCTGAGATTTTGCTGCTGCCCTTCAGGACCTTCTAGTCTAGGTGAGGATGAAAGATGGAGTCAGCACTCATGGTCCTGTGGAATGGGCTGTCATCAGAGGCCATGGATTTCCGCTCCCAAGTCATCCTGGCCTCCTTGCTATCTCTTACCCTTCACATCCAATCTACGTTCAAGGCTTGTCTAATTCACCTTTTGCGGCGTCTCCTGATTATCTTCCTTCTCTCCTCTGACACTGCATCCTCCCTGCTGCAGATCCTCTTCACCTCACACTTGGGTTATTTCAATAGATTCTCTATCCTCACCTCCATCTCATGGCTTCCCTGGCTTCCTTCAAATTCTAGCTAAAAGCCCACCTCCTACAGGAAGCCCATCCCCTTCCCCCTTAAGTCTAGAGTCTTTCCTCTCTTGATCATCTCCAGTTTATCCTGTGTGGATCTCATTTGTACATATGTGTTTGCATGCTTTCATCCCCATTAGACTGTAAGCTCCTTGGCAACAGGGACTGGCTTTTGCCTTTCTTTGTGACATGTGCTCAGAAGATAGTAGGTCCTGAATAAATGTTGATTGACTGACTGACCTAATATCTCCTTCTTCTCTTCGTTCTTTCTTTCAGCATTTGGCTTGGTGACCAGAAGGGAATGTTCACCTATATCCAACACAGTGTGTGGCTGCTCTCCAGGATATTTCTGCACCAACATGAAAGATGATGACTGTGAGATGTGTGTGGCTCACCGAGTCTGCACTCCTGGACAATACGTGAAGTCTAGAGGTTAGCCTGCCCCATCTCCATCCACCCAGGTGCCCAGAAGTATTCCTGCTCCAGGCTGCTGCCCTGGAAACCTGAGAAATGCCCAGCCCTCCCGCAGCCCAGGATGCCTCCCTAGAGGCAGTGGGAAGATGGCTGTATCTGGGTCCCAGAGGGGTTGGGTCCCAAACTTAACTTTACTCTTACTGTCCATGTGATTCTGAGGTTACTTCACCTCTCTGGACCTCAGTTTCCTTATCTGTAAAATGAGAAGGTTGGATGATATGACCTCTGAGGTCTCTTCCTGATGGAAATTTATGAGTCTGTGATCATGAAGTGTGGTTGCAGTTCCCCTGTCTTATCTACATGGACCTCAGACAGCCTGGGGCAAATGAGGAATTAGGCAGAGCTAGGAAGTCAACCAAAGCCTCTCCACTAGTGTCCTCCAATTTGCTTTGGTGGCATGAAGTGACCAACTCTTTGTTTTGTCTTTTTAAATGAAATATTTTTAATTGGCAAAAACCTGTCTTCTCTCATTCTCACCTTTCCTCCCCAAGTGGAAAAGAAAAAGGATAACAGAAACCTTTATAGCAAATTTTATGTGTGGTCAAAAAAAACCACATTCATGCATTGGCCATGTCCAAAGAGAATATACGTCTCTATCAGCACCTTGAGTCCTTCACTTCTTCATCAGGAGGTGGGGTGGCATGTTTAAACATGAGTCCTCTGGAACTGTAGTTCATTATTCCATTGATCCATCTTTTGGAGTCTTTCTAATTTGTTTGTCTTAACAATGTTATTATTACTGTATAAGCTGCTCCCCTGGTTCTGCTTATTTCATTCTACATTAGTTCATACAAGTTTTCCCGTGTTTCACTGAAATTATCCATTTCATCATTTCTTATGGTGCAATAGTATTCCCTTACATTCATGTAGCATAATTTGTTCAGCTTGTAGTGGTGTCAGTGGGTCAAAAAAGATGCAAAACTTAATAGCTTTTGAGATGTAGCTCCAAATTACTTTTCTAGACTTTGTCTGCATTGTCCACAGCTTCACCAACAGTACATATTTGACATTTTCCTTTTTTTGTCAGCCTTCTCAATCTGATGGGTATGGGGGAGAACTTTGAATTTGCTTTAATTTGTATTTCTCTAATTAGAGATTTAGAGCATTTTTAAAAAATGGCCATTTATAGCTTGGATTTCTTCCTTTGAAAACTGCTTATTCCTATCCTTTGACCATTTATCATTTAGAGAATGGCTCTTATTCTTATGTATTTGAATCAGTTCTGTGCATATCTTGGAAATGAGACTTTTATCAGAGAAACTTGCAGCAAAGATTTCTCCCCCCCCACCCACTCCCTTCCCCAGTTATCTGCTTCCCTGCTAATTTTAACTGTATTGGATTTGTTTGTGTAAAATCTTTTAAATTTTATGTAATTGTAATTGTCCATTTTATCTTCTGTCATCATCCTTCTCCCTTGTTTGGTCAGAAACTCTTCCCCTGTCCACAGATATAATTGATAATTTCTCCATTGCTCCTCCTCTTGGTTTATGATGTGTCCCTGAATTCTTGAGAATGATCCCTGGGGCAGTAGATACAGCACCAGCTCTGGATTCAGGAGGACCTGAGTTCAAATCCTGCCTCAGACACATAACATTTACTAGCTGTGTGATCCTGGGCAAGTCACTTAACCCCATTTCCTAGCCCCCCCCAAAAAAAAAGTAATCTCCAAGGATTTCTGCTTCTGGGAGCCAAGATGGCGGAATAAAAAGGTAGTCTCTCTCACCCTCCCATATCAACTTTTGAAAATCCATAAAATATCACCCCCCAAAAAAACCCCTGGAACTGCTGAACTAGAAGAAAGATGGGGAACAGCAGTGAAGAAGCCCAGCAAACAGGTCTTCCAGTGCCTCAGCAAAAATAAGGGAAGCAGCACCACAAAGGGCCCCAGGTGGATAAGCACCCTGAAGCATTCATCTGAAAGGAGCCAAAGAAAGCAACCTAGAGTCTTCCTAAAGTCCCAGCCTTGCTGATTCCAACCCAACACCAGGTAAGCTGTCAGAACCCTACAGCCTCCAACTGTCAACCAGGAGGAGATCCTGAAGCCCAGCTGGTAGAGCAGGCAAACAATAACACTGGACCCCCAAGTGCCTCAGTGAGGGTGGGGGAGCTGGTGGAAACCAGCTCAGAAAACCACCAGGTACCTTGGTGCTCTACCACAAAGGAATCTCCAAGTGCATTAGCAGAAATGAAAGAGGCAGCACTCCAAGGGGCCCCAGGCAGATAAACAGAGCTGAAGAAAGCTAAAGGAAAGGAAAAGCAGGCAACCTAGAATTGCCTGAAAATTCTAGCCTTGCTGATTTCAACCCAACATGAGGTAAGCTGCTGGAACCCTACAGCCTCCAGTTGCCAACATAAGAGGCCCCAGCACATAAAGCCAGTGACCAAGACCTAGGCTACCAACACAAGAAGCTTGGGTCAGTGCCCTCTGTTCCCCATCAGGAGAGCTCAGTCTCTTTAAAGGCCAGGGAATAAAGAAAGCATGAGTAAAAAGAAACATACCATAGATTCATATTATGAGAAGAGTGAAGATCAAGACAGAAATTCTGAAGAGGACAACATTGTCAACAAACCCACATCTGCAACATCAAAAGGGAATATGAACTGGTCTGAAGTCCAAAAAGCCTTCTTAGAACACCTCAAGATGGATTTTAAAAGTCAATCGAGAGATGTAGAAGAGTCCCTAAAAAACACAATTGGCAATGGAAAAAAGTACACTGAAGAAAACATCCTTAAAATACAATTGGCCAATGAAGAAGGAAGTACAAAAACTAACAGAAGAAAACAATCTGTTAAAAACTAGAATTGGACAAATGGAAACTAATGACTCTATGAGAGAGCAAGAATCAGTCAAACAGAAACAAAAAAATGAAAAAATAGATGAAAATGTAAAATACCTCATTGGTAAAACAACCAACCTGGAAAATCATCAGGAGAGACAATTTAAAAATTATTGGACTACCTGAAAATAATGATGAAAAAAAGAACCTGGACAGTATCCTTCAGGAAATCATAAAGGAAAACTACCCTGAAGTCCCAGACCCAGAAGGTAAAATAACCATAGAAAGAATATATTGCTCACCACCTGAAAGAGATCCTAAATTGAAAACACCAAGGAATATAATAGCAAAATTTGAAAATTACCAGATGAAAGAGAAGATGCCGAAAACAGCCAGAAAGAAACAATTTAAATATCATGGAACCACAGTTAGGATCACACAGGACCTTGCAGCTTCTACGTTAAAAGACCACAGGGTGTGGAACATGATATTCTGTAAGGCAAAGGGACTTGGATTACAGCCAAGGATCAACTACCTAGCAAAAATGAGCATAATTTTTCAAGAGAGGAGATGGATAGTCAATGAAATAGGGGAGTTCCAAACCTTCCTGATAAAAAGACCAGAGCTCAACAAAAAATTTGATTTTCAAGCACAAGATTCAAGAAAGATACAAAAAGATAAACGGGACAGAAAGATACAATATATTGTTAGTAAGGGCAGACTGTTTACATCCCTACAAGGGAAGATGACACTTGCAGCTCTTGAGAGCTGTATTGTTATTACACCATGTTAAAGGAGTATATATAAAGAGGGTGCACATTAGTTGACTTTGATGTGATGATCACACAAAAAAATCTAATCAAGTGGGTTAAATGGATCCAAGTAAGTGAATTAGTCTGATCTCAGATTCAAAACCATAATCCTACAATATGTTGTTTACAGGAAACACATTTGAAAAAGAGTGACACATACAGGGTAACGGTAAAAGTCTCAAGAAGAATGTTCTATGTGTCAGGTGAAGTAAAAAAAGCAAGGGTAGCAATCCTGATCTCAGACAAAGTAAAAGCAAAAATAGATCTAATCAAAAGAGATAAGGAAGGAAACTGCATCCTGCTAAAGACACCATGGACAATGAAGTAATATCATTACTAAACATATATGCACCAAATGGTATAGCATCCAAATTCTTAGAAGAGAAGTTCAGGGAGTTACAGGAAGAAATAGACAGCAAAACTATACTAGTGGGGGGACCTCAACCTCCCCCTCTCTCTACTAGATATACTGGGAGAAGCAGGAATAGTTTACCTATCAGATCTATAGAGAACAGAAGAATTCATGACCAAACAGGAGATAGAGAACATTATGAAAAGCAAAATGGATCATTTTGATTACATTAAATTGAAAAGTGTTTGCACAAACAAAGCCAATGCAACTAAGATTAGAAGGAAGGTAGAATATTGGGAAAGAATTTTTATAACCAGTCTGTCTGATAAGGGCTCATTTCTAAAATATATAGAGAATTAAGACAAATTTATAAGAATACAAGCCATTCCCCAATTGATAAATGGTCAAAGGATATGAACAGACAGTTCTCAGATGAAGAAATTAAAGCCATCTCTAGTCATATGAAAAAATACTCTAAATCATTACTGATTAGAGAATGCAAATAAAACTATCCTGAGGTACCACATGATACCTATCAGATTGGCCAACATGACAAAACAGGAAAATGATAAATGTTGGAGAATATGTGGGAAAATTGGAACACTAATGCATTGTTGGTGGAGTTGTGAAATGATCCAACCATTTTGGAGAACAATTTGGAGCTATGCCCAATGGTCTATAAAAATGTGCATACCCTTTGACCCAGCAGCAGCACTTCTAGGGCTATGTTGCATAGACATCATACAAATGGGAGAAGGACCCATATGCACAAAAATATTCATAGCAGCTCTTTTTGTGGTGCTAAAGAATTGGAAATTGAGAGGATGCCCATGAATTGGGGAATGGCTGAGCAAGTTGTGGTATATGAATGTAATGGAATACTATTGTGCTATAAGGCTGACTTCAGAAAAACCTGGAAAGACTTGTATGGTCTGATGCTGAGTGGTGAGCAGAACCAAGAGTATGTTGTACACAATAACAGCCACATTGTGTGATAACTAATACTGATAAACTTAACCCTTCCCAGCAATACAAGGATCTAAGACATCTCCAGAGTCTTCGGGATGGAAAATGCTATCTACCTCTAAAGAAAGAGCTATGGAAGTTGAATCACTATCTTTTTTTTTTCTCTCCTGTTGAGTTTTGTTTCCTCTTTCTGATGGTTTTAATTTTTACTTACAACTTCGCTAATGTGAAAATATGTTTAATACCCTATATTAGATTGTACGCCGTCTTGGGGAGGGTGGTGGGTAGGAAAGGGGAGAAAAATTTTAAACTCAAAAGCATATGGAAGTGATTGTTGATAAATCAAAATAAATTAGTAAAATGAACAAAAGTGAAAAAAAAAAGAGATCCCCAAATAGTTCAAATTCTGGCAAATACTACTGAGTTGGAGGTATGATTAATATTATTTCACATGATTAAAGTAATGAAAAGTATAGCACCTGCTATGTGTCAGACAGTGTGCTAAGTGCTTTTGGATTGCCTGGAAAAGTTCATCAGTATTGTATGTAGTCCATCATGGCATACTTGCCTGGGTTCTTTATAATAGACAAAGTTCTTATGCTTTCCCAGTCACCAATGGAGTGAAGAAGGGCCGTGTGCTTGCTCCCATTCTTTTTAGCATGATGTTTTGAGCCATGTTGTCGGAAAACTTCAACAAGAATGAAAATGGCATCCACATCAGCTACTGCAGTGATAGTAAATTATTTAACTTGAAAAGACTACAAGCCCAGACTAAAGTGGAGAGACAGTTGGTGCATGACTTTTTGTTTACTGATGATTGTGCACTCACTGCAGGCTCTGAAGCTGAGATGCAACAAAGTATGGATCAATTCTCTGCTGCTTGTGCTAATTTTGGCCTGACAATTAACATGAAGAAGACACAGGTGCTCCACCAGCCAGCACCACACCATCCATAAGTGGAACCATCAGTTACAGGAAATGGAGAAATTTTGAATGCTGTGGATAAGTTCACTTACCTTGGCAGTATACTTTCCAGGGATGTACACACTGATAATGAGGTTGACACATGCATTGCCAGAACTAGCTCAGTGTCTGGGAAGCTCTGAAGGGAAGTGTGGGAGAAAAGAGGTATTAGACTGACTACCAAATTGAAGGTCAACAGAGCCGTTGAGCTGGCCTCATTGTTGTGTGCCTGTGAACCTGGACAGTATACCAGCACCATGCCAGGAAACTGAATCTCTTCCATTTGAATTATCTTAAGATTTTGAAGATCACCTGGCAGGATAAATGTCAGACACCGAGGTCCTTTCTCAAGCTAAACTGTCAAGCATTCAAACTCTATTGTAGAGAACCCAGATCTCCAATTGGCGGGCTGTTCAAATGTCAAACATAAGGTTGCTTAAAAGACTATTTTACAGAGAACTCACACAAGGCAAGTGCTCACTTGAAGGTCAGAAGAAGCAATACAAGGATACTCTCAAGGGTCTCTCTGAAGAGTATTTGGAATTGATTTCATGATATGAGAGACTCTGGCAAAGAACCTCCCAGTATGGAGTGCCTGCATCAAAAGCACTGAGCTCCACAAATGAAGTAGAATTTTAGTAGCTCAAAAGAAAGGTGAGATGAATGAATTTAGTGACATCTCCACTCCAGTTTTTCATACGGATTGTGGTACAGCCTTCCAAGCTCCTGTTGGTCTGATCAGCCACAATCAGCCACACCGTACCTTGACCCCGACAGAGTGGTGTCATTTTGGTCTTCAACAACAAACCAACCATACTTCATCCTGAACCTCTAGTTTCTTTGCAGAAGTGGGAGGCTGTGGGTATGCAACATTACACATAACATTTCCCTTTTTTTGATAGGTTGATTAGTTTGCTGAACTGTTTTCTCCTTTTTTTTTTTAAAAAAGAAAAGATTCTACATTATAAGAGATGACTGTCCAGGTAAGATAAGGTCATAAGACATATGCTGGAGTCAGCCTGAACTGCTCTCCCAAGAGCTGGTTGTTACATTTTCAATGTGAGAATTGGCATTTCAGAAATGGGAAAATAGTATAAATCATGGGCTTAATTCATTGCTTTGTTAATTGCTTAGATTTAAGAAAGTGATGGAGAACATGTTAATAATGTCCATCAAACAGAAAAAAACCCACAAAAACATACCCTGTGTTCCTTTTTTTTTCTCTCCCAGAGAGTTGATTTTTAAACATTTACTAGTAAGGGGAAGGAAATGTTGGGTAATGTAGGTGATGCAAAAAATGAAACATATCAAAAAATACATTTCTTGCCACAGACCTGGGGAGTGTTTCACAGAGTTGTTTGCAATACTCTGCTCTGACAAAGAACTTCCAGGGAAAGGACTAAACAATCCAAGGACACTGTTCTAACCATCATGTTTTGCTCTAATCCTGTTGCTACACTCGGCACCAAATCTCCCATGTCTCCTCTTTCAGGCACGGAGAGAAACAACACCATCTGTGAAAAGTGCCAGGCAGGGACATTTTCCCCCAATGGGACCCTTGGCCAGTGTCTGCCATGGACCAAGTAAGTATATCACACTCTCTGGGAGTCGGTGGTTCATTCTTTTTGCTTGTTCATTTACAGTGATTTAAACAAAAATTATGACTTTAACAAACTCCAAATAAAAAAAGTGTTTCCACATACAAAGCAGAACAACAAAAAAAGATAAAAGAAAGAAGTGACCAAAAGGGGTGGGAGTGAGGTGCAGCTAAGTGTTTAACAACTAGATCTCTGAAAAATAAATATACACGAGACACCATTTTTAGTTTATTCTGCATCAGCAACATTTTTTTTTTGTAATTTTCTTAAGTCTAGACATTCAACAAAGTAACAAATCAAGCCCTTATTGGTGACATTTGTGAATTTCAGAGGCATGAGTGCTCATCCTGGAAATGTAACAATTGACTTATGGATTGAGCTGATTCCAGCACACCTCTGAATGTACAGCCAGCTTGCATTTCCTCTTAGGCGTCAAAGAAATTCCACACGTAGCTTTCAAAGCTGTTCTACTTGTCTGTACTTCCTTCTGGTCTTCCTTCTGTTGGATAGCTACCATTCTTAAGGTTTTTCCCTTAAACGGAACTAAAATCTGCCTTTCTGTGTCTTCTCTCCATCACTCCAGGTTCTATCCTCTGGGGCCAAGCTGAGTGAGTTTACTTCTCTTCTACTTAACATCTCTTTAAATACTTGAGACAACTTTTGAGGCCCTCAAAGCCATCCTTCAATAGCTCCTCACAAGCATGGTTTGGAGCCCTAGTTGCCCCAGTACCATAGAAAGAGCTTTGGAGTCGAGAGATTGTCATGGGGGCTATCCTGTCCTTGGGCCAGTGAGATAATATTTTAAAAGCGCTGGCCCGTGGGAGATGCTACATAAATGTTAGCTGCTATTATTACTAATTTGAACTCTCTGTGCCTGGTTTTACTCATTTATAAATGAGGGATCTCCTGAATGCCCCTCCAGCCCAGAATCTATGAGCCTATAGCTCCCCCTTGTGGAAGCTCTCCAGCTAACAGGAACTTCCCAAAATGAGACCCTGGACACAATTCTTCAGATGTGTGCTGGCCAGGACAGTGTGCATGGGACAGATATTACAGCAGTTACTTTATTCTAAACTCGCCAATGTAGTCTAAGGCTAAACTGCTATGGCTGGTTTTCCAATTGCACTGCTGACTCACAGGGAATGTTCAGGGTGCTCACACTCTAGGACCTTTTCCTGGATTGTTACCTAGTCCCATCCCCTTCCTAGGATGGTGGCATGGTAGAATGGAAAAGGCACTCACTCTGGAGCCAAAGGAATAAGGTTCAGATCCTGCCTCGGTTGTTTGCTTCCTTTGTAACCATGGATAAATCACTTTGATTCTCTGGACCTCAGTTTCCTTATTTTTAAAATTAGAGGATTGCAATGGCTAACTTCTGATGTCCCTTTTAATAATAATAGTAATAGTAATAATAAATGGGCAGCTGGGTGACACAGTAGATAGAGTGCTGGGTGTGGAGTCAGGAAGACTCATCTTTCTGAGTTCAAATCTGGCCTCAGACATTTACGAGCTGTTTGGTCCTGGGCAAGTCACTTCATCCTGTTTGCCTCAGCTTCCTCATCTGTAAAATGCACTAGGGAAGGACATACAAACCACTTCAGTATAATCACCAAGAAAAGCCTAAATGGGGTCACAAAGAGTTGGACATAACTGAAATGGCTAAGCACACACACACACACAAATTAATAAATTAATAATTAAATAAAAATAATAATTACTATTGAAAGAGACATTGAGAGAAGAAATACTAGATTAGAATTATATCTTTCTGCTCCCTTAAATGTTATTAGTTTAGGGAATATCATTATATTCAAACTAACTTCTGATCACTTTGACATTTTTTCAGCAGGAAGGAGAACCCCAGTAGTAACTAAATTAATGTAGTTTTAGAGACCCCAAGTGGGGAGACAGAAAGAGAGAGAGAAACCTCTACATGGAGCTAAGGCCCACCCATAGTATGGGCTGTTATGTGGCTAAAAAGGAGGAAGACTAGACATCTCTAGCCTTTCTCCCACCTGCCCCTTTTTTTTTGTGCTAGGCAATGGGGTTAAGTGACTTGCCCAGGGTCACACAGCTAGTAGTGTTATGTGTCTAAGGCCAGATTTAAACTCAGGCCCTCCTGAATCCAGGGCCGGTACTCTAGCCACTGTGCCACCTAGCTGCCCCCAATTTTTTTTTTCCACCTACCATTTTTTAAGGAAGATTTTAGTTCCTGTCAGAGCAAGAGCAGGAATTTGGGCCAGAGGCTACTTTGTTCTTCTCAGAGAGTTGGTGTATCAGGCTAGAATTATAACTATCTGTTCCTTTAAATATTATTTGTCTAGCTAGGGGATATGACCAGGTTCAATCTAATTTCCGATCACTTTGGGAAAAAGGAAGTGAAACCCTAAGCTCTCTCTCCAAAGCTTGACTCCCTTCCCACCTAATATCAATTCCACAATGAATACGCCTCACAGAAAGCAAAGATACCCACTTATCTAAATTGTAGCAAAGGGAGACCAGAGAAGATAAGCATGGGAGAATATACACTAGATAATACAGAGTGAAGGAACTTTTCTGTGGAGGAGTGGATAACCCAGCTCGACCAAGAGAGGGTTCTAGATCTCACCCAAAGGCAAACACTCCAAGTCTCTGGTATAGCAAGGTTGGGGGGGAGGACATGATGGAGGCTGCTGGCTCCTCTCATGGTTCCCAGAGTCTTGCCTTCAGCAACCTGAATTGGGGTTGACCTCTTACATGTTCCCTCTTGAAATTGGAAGCCAGAAGCAATTTGATGCTTGAAGAGTCCCCCCAAAAGACTTGAAACTGAGGAGTCCTGGACAGGATTGATCAAGGCTGGAGTCTTCCCACCAACTCTGCCCAGCCAGTTCCTGCAGGGCAGGGCATTCATCTCCACCATAAGGCAAGAGCCTCATACCAATGGACATTGGGACAGGAGCTACAGTAACAGCAACAGAAATAGCTAACATTTACATAAAACTTTCTAGGTGCTGTCTTGTTTGAGCCTCAGAACAACACTGGGCAGTGGGTGCTATTATGAGCCTCATTTTACAGATGAGGAAACTGAGGCAAACAGGGGTTAAGTGCCTTGCTCAAGGTCACACAGCTAGGAAATGTCTAAACTAAGATCTGAACTCCCATGTTCCAGGCTAGAGGTTCCAGGCTAGCACTTTGCCCACTGGTGTCCACTGGACCCCCTAGCTATCTCTGGCTTTATGATCTTTTTGAGTTGATTTTTAAGCCTATTTATAAGACATTGATTCCATTCAGTCTTATTATTTTCCACATTACTGTTAGCTCAGGCAGTGGGGGATACAGGGCTAGCCTTGGAGTCAGGAAGCCTCGAGTTCTGTCTCCTACACATAGTAAGCTTTGTCTCATGGGCAGGTCACAGCATCTCAGTGCCCTAGCCAGCAATCTAAGTCTCTCAATTCCTGACAATTCCTGCATCAGGGGAAGGCATTTCTCCACCAGGGAATTCCCCCCACTGCTGAAATTGTAGTTGTGGGCCCCTCAAAAAAAAAAGAGAGCAAAAACCCAACAATCTTGTCTTCTGGTTCTAATTTGTTTAAGTCTTTTTGGACCCTGCCTTTGGGCATGCTGGCTTTCCAGTCAATCCCACATGTGCCCTCCCTCCTGGCTTGGTGTGTTGTCTACAAACTACAGAGATGTGTGCTTCTGTCTTTACCTACCACTCTCCCTGAGTTGGGATACTCTGCCTCTCTTTCTGTAAGCTTCTTTGTCTGCTGAGTTGCATGGCTGACTGCAGCTGGAGGAGGATTTGGATCTCTCAGTTTTGCTGGGCTGATGGGAATAAGTTCATGTTCAATGACACGTGTCCTCATCTGTCTTCCTAGTTGTACTGCCCAGGGTTTATTTGAAGAAAAGCCAGGCACTGACACCATGGACACATTGTGCTCAATGCAGGGTAACCCTCCACTCGGATTTATTGGTACCCCCATCATCATCATCATCATCATCATCATCGTCACCTTTGTCATCACTGTCATCTCCATCATCATGATATTTGTTAGAAGGAAAAAGAACCGAGAAAGAGGTAAGCAGGGACAAAAGAGGGTGAAGAGGTGGTGACTTTGCCCGAAGACATTGACCAAAATTAGAGTACTTTAGGACTGTAGGAACAACATCTCTCAGTACATAAATCATACATTCTTTCAGTGAATCTAGGGAAATACCAGCTGGGAGGCAGAGGAGTGCTTCCCCCTGTCTCCCTCCTTCCTCCTTCCTCCTCCCCACCCTTCCCCACTTAACTGAGGGCAGGCTTGACCGAGGTTCAGTCTATGGTCCTTGCCCCCAGACACAGACATTCCCAGTTATATTTCTGCTGCTAATCACTAACCTGTTAAATTCACACAAAGCCAATCTAAGTGAGATTTCTTATCACCACAACTTTGTGAATTGAACTTGGAAAACATTCCTTTCTCCAAAGGGACGTAATGATTGTCAGCAGAGATAGACACATAATAGTAAGTAGATAGATAGATAGATACATACATAGATACGATAGATAGATGCTTGGCTGGATAAAAAGATGGATGGATGGACTGAAAGATTGAAAGATGCTGGATAGGATGCTAGACAGATGGAAGAATTTGACCCAGAAATCTCACTATTAGGTCTGTTTCCCAATGTGATCAGTGGAAAAGGAAAAGAATCTATATGTCCTAAAATATTCATAGCAGATCTCTTTGTGGTGGCAAAGAACTGGAAAATGAGGGGATGTCCATCAACTGGGGAATGGCTGAACAAGTTGTGGTATATGATCGTGATGGCATACCACTGTGCTGTAAGAAAGGATGAGCTGGTTGACTTTAGCAAAACATAGAAGGACTCGCATGAAATAATGAAAAGTGAGCAGAACCAGGAGAATGTCATATACTGTAACAGTAGTATTGTTTGAAGAATAACTGTGAAGAATCTGGTTATTCTGAGTATTATAAACACTCCAATCAACTATAAGGAATCTAGGAAGGAAGATTCTATGTCCCTCTGATGAACAGAAGTATGCATAGGATGGTTTTACATATATTTATAAATCTGTGTCAGATGGTCGCCTTCTCTAGGGCAGGGTGTGGAAGACAGAGGGAGAGAGTTTGGAACTTATAAGGTAACAAAAGAAATAAATTAAATTAAATTAAAAAGATAGATGGAAGGAAGGATGGATAGAGAGATGACAGAGAAAATGATGGTTGGAAGGATGATTAAGTGAAATGAGAGATGAGTGAATGGATAGATACATAGCTAGATGGATAATGGAAGGATAGATGATAGATGGAAATATAGATGGATAGACAGATAGTGGATAGATAGATAGATTATAAATAGATAAAGCATTTATTAAGCACTTACTATATGCCAGGAACTGTGCACTGAAATATGTGCTACACATGTCAACTCAAGTAGCATTTATTAAGCACCTACTATGTGCCAGGCACTGTTCTAGTCACATATAAACAACCAAAGCAAGTCAAAAATTCAGCTACTGAATTTATCTCAGGAACCATTTATCAGTCACCTATTATATGCAGAGCATTGTGCTCAGGAGGGAAAGTGAATGCAGAGTTTAATTCAATTTCATACACATTTATTAACTCTTCCTCTGTATAGACACTGTACAACAGTAAAACAGTTGCCATTTTCAAAGAGCCTGCTGGCTAGTGAGGGTGGTGGAATTCACCATGGATGTAGAGAAGCAGATTGTATATACCAGATACCTACAAGATCCTGTTTTGGCAGGAGGGAGGAAGGAGAACAGATCAGAATGAGAGTTCCTCAAAAGTAAGGGCTCTTTCCCTTTTGTCTTGGTCTCTTGAGCACTTAGCATGGTTCCTGGTATTGAGTAGGTGCTTAATAAATATTTTTACATTGACTGATGCAGTCTTTCCCTCATGGAGCCCACACAAACTGGAAAAGTTCCTTGTAGATATCAAAGTCAATACTGTGGTGACCTCAGATTTAGAAACGGGCATGTGTCCCTGACTGAAGTGAGACTTTCAGATGTCAGTTACACAAATAAGTTATAGAACATGCAGGCCCTCTTCCCAGGCTGAGTCTAGATGGAACAGAACCCTGGGAGTTGGGCATGAGTATTTAGGAATATGGTGAGCAGGGATGGAATGGAGCAGAATTACAATGGCCAGATCCATAGAACAAGGCTCAGGAGAAGACTGGTGACTAAACTAAGGGTCTTCCTGGCCTGGGCATCAGAGCACTGCTCAGCGTGGTGTGAGAGGTACAAGTGTTGGAAAATGCTAGAAGTGAGCATATTCTCCAGAGGGTCAGTGGCTGTGGGACCTCAGACAGGTCATTTCTCTTTCTAAGCTTCATAGGATCACAGTGTGGCTGTAGGCTCAAAGATTTAGGCTGGAAATGGTTGAGAGGCCTTTCAGTTAGCTCTATTTATTTTACAGAGAAGGAACATGAAGTCTAGAGCCACTAAGTGACAGCTAGGTGAAGCAGCGGAGTGAGCACCAGACCTGGACTCAGGAAGATCTGAGTTCAAATCCAGCCTCAGATATTTGCTAGCTGTGTGACCTTGGGCATGTCACTTAACCTTGTTTGCCTCAGTTTCCTCATCTCTAAGATAAACTGGAAAAGGAAATGGCAAACCACTTGAGTATCTTTGTCAAGAAAACCTCAAAGAGAGTCACAAAGAGTGAGATGCAACTTAAAATGACTAAACAGCAACAAAATATGCCAGGGTATGTGCCAAATTTAGACATACAAGTCCCTGTGTCAGTCCCTGCCCTCAAAGAGCTCCCATCCTAAAGAAGCGTATGACAGGCAGACCGCCGCATATATACAAGGTATTTAGGGGTAAATGAGAGGCTCTCTCGGGAGGGGGAAGGCATTTGCATTAAGGGGGACCAGGAAAGACCTCCTGCAGAAGGTGGAATGTGAGCCTTCTTACCTGAAGGCAGAGGGGAGGGGGGTGGCATTCCAGGCATGGGTAGCAGCTAAGGAAAAGAGACTCCTTGTGTTTTCTGTTCAAATATAAGATCCTTGACAGGAGAGATTGCTTGATTCTTTGTACTTGTATCCCTAGAACCTTGCACTGTGCCTGGCATATAGTAGGCACTTAATAAGTGCATGTTGACTGACTGATTACCCAAAGTCACATAGGTAGTGTCAAAGGCATATATGAACCCAGGTCTTTTTGACTCTGAGCCCAGGGCTCTATTCACTGCACTCCATATAGATGTTTCTGTAATTCTATTTAACCTTTCGTTATATGTCTGACAAATGTATCTATCCTACCTCCTGACACTCATCTTCTTTACATTTCAGCTTATGACATAAAAGGAAGGGTGAGTAGCTTTTGCCAAATCTATGGATTAATCAGTTGGGTTGACTGACCTGACATCTTTCTGCTCATGTTGCTGCCTGGGGGTCCCCTGCTCTTCTAGCTGAGAACATCACTTCCATATGCCTTTGGTCTATGACGGGCCTATCTTACTTGCAGACCGCCAGAAGATTTCGGGCAGCCCGTGAAAAATGTTAAAACATTTTCCTCTATGTTTTCCATGGGCTGCAGGTAACAGCGTGACCAGTGATTTCTAAATCTATCTTTCCATTAAATAGGAGACACCCTTCCATAAAAAATGCAAGGATTCCAGACACTTCATTTTAGGAAGGACGTTGATAAGAGAAGAAGGTGGCACGGATGGTGAAAGGCCTCAAATTCCTTCCATATGAGAACTGAATGAAAGATCTGGGCGTGTTTAGTCAGGAGCAGGGAGGGAGCAAAGGGGACATGTGATAGGTGACTTCAGGTGTTCCTCAGAAGATTTTCTTGTTCTGTTCGGCCCCAGAAGGTAGTCCCAGCAGCAATGGGTGGGAGTCACAAGAGGGTCATCTATGGTCAGGCTGAAAGTCAGGACAGGTTTCCTAAGCATTCAAGCTGTTGTCAAGTAGAAGCTGTTGTCTTAAGAGGGAGCTGGTTCTTCTTCCTGGGTGTCTTCAAATGGAGGCAGGAGAATCGACTTCTGAGGAGCTGAGAGGATTCTTGCTCAGGTTTGGGTGGGGTCATTGCCTTCCTGCTCTACATCTATGACCCCATGATAGGGAAAAGCCATGAGAACTCCTGAAAGTGAGGGCTTGAATGTAAGGCTGTTGTTTGATCTTAGACAGATCTCTCTCTTTTTCTGAGTTTCAGAATTCTTCTGTGATATGTAAGGGCTGGATCAGTGATTGCAGTTGTCCCTTCCACATCATGGCATTTAGGGGGGTGGAGTCCCAGTGATCTGGAAAATCTGTGTAAAATTTTTTGGCCCTCCCTTTGTACCATTAAGGATGTCTGAATTTCAATGATAAAATATGTTGATATCATGTAATATGATACACATATTTTATGCATTTCTGAGTTTCTAAACATCTTCTGTGTTGTTTGCTGACCTTCCATGTAGCCTGTGGCTTCTGCAAAACTCCTCAAAAATTCCCATTTAATTTCTTATGCCAACCTGCAACAAATCAAAGCACAATGGAGAAAGCTGGGATGTGGAAGGGATAACTCTATTTAAACACACACACACACACACACACACACACACACACACACACACACACACACACACAGAGAAATTGGCCTGAAAAAATTGGGACTGTCTCAAACTGGCTTCTTTTTGCTTCTCCATCTATACTTTCCTATGTTGCAGGCTGAAGCGTCAGACCCTGAAAAGATCTGTGACCTCCTCGAGGCTGATGGGTCAATCATCAACTTACCTGTGCAGGAGACTCAGCAACAGGAAGAATCAGATGTAGTGAGCAGAATAATGTCCAAGAGTTAGGGCCGTCGGGATGATGATCTCGGGAGTTCAGTGAACTGCCAAGGCCAAGTCATAGTCTCTGTCTGTCACTGGGACGAAGCTCGTCTTCGGCAGTGGTGGCCTTCTTGAACCTCCTCCTAGTTTTGTAGCCAAAAGCATTCCAGATGGCAAAGGATATCTAAGGCAGGCCAAAGGTTTCACCAGTGGCATCCAATTCTGATGTCTCGTCCCAGAGCGGAGCGTGGGCAGGTGAGGCAACAGAGCCTGAGTTCTGAGAGGATAGATGAGCTGTGAGTGTAGGCTTGGTATGAACAGTCTGTTTTCTAAGGATCAGCATGAAGAAGGTGGCTGGCCACCTGGTGGTTAATATAAATTCATTTTATATTTATTATGGATGTATTTAATTTTTGTTATTATTGTTTAATTGTTCATTCATGTTCTACTCTTTGTGACCTCATTTTTTTTTTTGCAAAGTTACTAGAGGAAAGAGGAAAACACACAACAAAATACAAAATAATTGTAGCTTAGAATGTGAATGGGATGAATTTACCCATAAAATGGAATAGATAGCAGATTAAAAATCTGAATTCAACAATATGTTGCTTTCAGGAAACATTATAGAAATGAGAAATACACAGAAAGACAAAATAAAGGGCACCTATCAGACTGGCTATGACAGACAAGGAAATTGATGAATGTTGAAGAAGATGTGGGATCTTTCCCAACTTGCCTTAGCAGTAGCTGTAGGTACAACAGTAGCAGCATGTCACACAGATAGTTCTCTGCTCTCAGGCATGGGTCTCTGGGCTTCCTGCCTTGAAAGAGAAGCAGCATTCAGTGGGGGAATGCTGAACAGGTTTCCCAAAGATGATCCCACTAAGCCCATCCACCTGACAGCCTTCCTGGGATATAAGGAAGGCATGACCACATTGTTTGAGAGTGGGACAGGCCTGGCTCAAAGGTCAACAAGAAGGAAGTAGTTGAGCCTATTACTATCATGGAGACACCTCCTATGGTCATTGTTGGCACTGTGTGCTATGTGCTAACCCTATAAGGCCTATGGAGCTTCACAACCATCTTTGCTGAGCACATCAGAGTCAATTCTATAAGAGCTGGCATAAGTCCAAGAAGAAGGCCTTTACCAAGAATTGCAAGAAGTGGCAAGAAGCAGCTGGAGAAAGACTTCAACAGCATGAAGAGGTACTGCCCAGGTGATCCATGTCATTGTCCACACCCAGATGTGCCTGCTCCCTCTGAAGCAGTAGAAGTCTCACCTGATGGAGATCCAGGTGAATGGTAGCAGTGTGGCTAAGGAACTGGGCTGGGCCTGAGAGAAACTGGAGAAGCAGGTGCCTGTGTCCACCTTGTTTGGGCAGGATGAGATGATCGAATGTCATTGGAGTGACCAAGGGCAAAGGTTACAAAGGTGTCACCAGCCGCTGGCACGCAAAGACACTGTCCTGAAAAACCCACTGAGGCCTGCATAAGGTGGTGGGTATTAGAGCTTGGCAGCCTTCTCTGTGGCTTGAGCTGGTCAGAAGGGCTACCACCATCACACCAATACCAACAAAAAGATCTACAAGATTGGCCAGGGCTACCAGATACAGAATGGCAAGCTGATCAGAAACAGCATGTCCACTGATTATGACCTGTCCAACAAGACCATCAGCACTCTGGGAGGCTCTGTCTGCTATGGTGAAGTGACCAATGACTTTCTCATGCTGAAAGACTGTGTTGTTGGGGCCAAGAAGTGTGTCCTCACCCTGCAAAAGTCTCTGCTGATAGAGACAAAACATTGCATCCTAGAGAAGATTGACCTGAACTTTATCGACACCACCCCCAAATCTGGCCATGGTTGGTTCCAGACTGTGGAGGAGAAGAAAACTTTCATGGGACCACCAAAAAAAGACTGTGTCATGAAATAAAAAACTGAATAATGCTTACAAACCAACTTGGAGTTGGTGGATTCTCGATAAATTTTTCAAAGCTAAAAGAAAAAAAGGAAAAGAAGAAGAGGCAGCTAGGTGGCGCAGTGTGATTCAACTCCAATTGCCTAAAATAAAAAAAAAGTGGGAAAATTGGAATGCTAGTGTACTGAACTAATGTGAACTGAGCCAATCATTCTGGAAAATAATTTAGAACTATGCCCAAAGGGCAACCAAAATGTGCATACCCTTTGACCCAGCCACACCACTACTAGGTCTGTATCCCAAAGAGATCATAAAAAAGGGAAAAGGACCCACAAGTACAAACATATTTATAGCAGCTAAGATTTAGAAATTGAGATGATGCCCATGAATTGGGGAACTCCTATACAAGCTGTGGTATATGAATGTAATAGAATGCTATTGTGCTGTAAGAAATAATGAGCAGGAAGATTTCAGAAAAAACCTGGAAAGACTTAACATGCACTGATGCAAAGTGAAGTGAACAGAACCAGGATAACATTGTACACAGTAAGAGCAACACTGTGCAATGATCAGCTATGATTTTTTTTTCTGAAGCAATCAGAGTTAAATGACTTGCCCAGGGTCACCCAGCTAATAAGTGTTAAGTATCTGAGGTCAGATATGAACTCAGGTCCTCCTGACTCCAAAGCTGGAGTTCTATCCACTGTGCCACAATCAACTATGATTGACTTAGCTCTATGCAGCAATACAACAATCTAAGACAATTCTAAAAGACTCGTGATGGAAACTGCCATCCACATCCAGAGAAAGGTTTGGTGGAATCTGAGTGCAAATCAAAGCATACTATTTTTACTTTATTTTTTCTTGTGTATTTTTTTTCTCTTTGTTTTGTTTCTTGTTTCACAGCATGACTAATATGAAAGTATGTTTTATATGATTGCACACATATAACCTATATCAATTGCTTACCACCTTAGGGAGGGAGGAGGAGTGGGAGAAAATTTGGAACTCAAAATTTTATATAAAAAATGAATGTTAAAATTATCTTTACATGAAAAAAATATCATTTAAAAGAAAAAAGAAAAATCATATTAACCAATGCTTTATCTCTTTTTTTTATAATACCAACTGCTAGCTTTATTAATTCAATGATTTTCTTGCTCTCAATTTTATTAACTTTCCCTTTAATTTTTAGGATGTCCAATTTGGTGTTTAATTGGGGATTTTTAATTTGTTCTTTCTCTAGTTTTTTTTAAATTGTGTACCCAATTCACTGGTCTGCTCTTTCTCTATTTTATTGATATAAACATTTAGAGATAAAAATTTTCCTCTGATTACTGCTTTGCTATGTCCTCTAGGCTTTGAAATATTATCTCATTATTGCCATTCTTTTTAATAAAATTATTGATTTTTAAAATTTTTTCTCTAACTCACTCATTCTTTAAGATTAGGTTGTTTAGTCTCCAGTTAGTTTTTATTCTGTGTTTCCCTAGTCCCTTATTAAATATAATTTTTTATTTCCTTGTGATCTGGAAAGGATGCATTCAATACTTTTTGTTTTTAATTATAAAATTTTATGCTCTAATATATGATCAGCTTTTGTAAAGGTGCCATGTACCACTGAGAAAAAGGTATATTCTTTTCTATTCCTATGCAATTCTCTCTAGATTTCAATCACATCTAGCTTACCTCTCCCCTTACCTGCCTTATTCTACTCACCCCTCTAAGAGTCCCTCCCTTATCCTGTCCCCTTGCCCTCTTATTTCTTTTTTCTTTCTTCTTTCTTTCCTTCTTTCTTTCTTTCTTTCTTTCTTTCTTTCTTTCTTTCTTTCTTTCTTTCTTTCTTTCTTTCTTTCTTTCTTTCTTTCTTTCTTTCTTTCATGAGGCAATGGGGGTTAAGTGACTTGGTTAGGGTCATATAGCTAGTAAGTGTCAAGTGTCTGGTCTGAGGCGCCCTCTTATTTCTTTATAAACTTAGAAGACTTTTATGCCTTGCTAGATTTATGTGTTGTTCCCTCTTTAACCCAGATCTGATGAGAGTAAGGTTCCAGAACTACCAGTCCTCCACCCCCATCTGCTTCCTCTGTAGCAGTTCTTCCTTTCACATCTCATTTATATGAGATAATCGCTCCTTCTTACTTTTTCCCACCCACTTTAGTTTTTTAGAATCCCCTCATCATACCCACCCCAGTCCCAATCTTTCTTCCAAACTACCCAAGTAACGATGATAATCTTAAGAATACTGATAACACTTCCACATACAAGAAGTAAACAATTTGAACTCATTGAGGCCCTTCTAATTGCTCTTTAATGTTTGCCTTATATTCCTCCTGGATCTTATATGCCAAATTTTCCATTGAGTTCTGGTCTTTTTGTCACAAATACCTGAAAGTTTTTCAGTTTTTTAAATGTTCTCTTTTTTCCCCCCTCATTCAGGATTATACTCAAATTCTCTGGGTAAGTTATTTTTGGTTGCAATCCCAGCTCATTTGCTCTTCAAAATATAGTGTGCTAAGGCATATAGGCTTTTAGTGTAGAAGCTGCTAGGTCTTGTGTGATCCTGATTGTAGCTCCAAAGATATTTAAATTGGTTTTTTTTTCTTGTCACTTGTAATATTTTCCCCTCAACCTGAGAGCTTTGAAACTTGGTTATGATATTTCTGTAAGTTTTCATCCTGGGATCTCTTTCAGGTTATGATCAGTGGATTTTTCCTATTTATACTTTACCTTCTCATTCTAAAACTTCAGGGCAATTTTTCTTAATAGTTTCTTGTAATTTTGTGTCCAGATTCTTTTTCTGATCATAACTTTCAGGTAGTCCAACAATTCTTCCATTGTCTGTCCTCAATCTGTTCTTTAGATTAATTGTTTTCCTAATGAGATGTTTCATATTCTCTTCTATTTTTTTCATCCTTTTGATTTTTTTTTTTAATTTCTTGGTGTCTTATAATGTCATTAGCTTCCCTTTTATCCAATTCTAGTTTTCAAGGAGTTATTGTCTTCCTTAAGTTTTTAGACCTTTTTTTCCAACTGACTGACACTCTTTTTCATAATTTTCTTGATTTTCTTGGATTGCTCTTATTTACCCCCCATTTTTTCCTCCATCTCTCTTATTTGTTTTTTTGAAATCTTTCTGAAGTTCTTCAAGTACTCTTTTGGGGCTTGTGACCATTTCATGTTGCTTGTTGAATTAGGAGTGGCTTTTTTTTTTTTACTTCCGTATGTTCCTCTGAATATGAATCCAGATCCTCTCTATCTACACCTTAGTTGTCTATGGTTGAGTTCTTTCTCCTTCGCTTGTTCATTTTTATTTTGTTTTATTTTATTTTTAGCTGCTTATTTTTGTAATTGTCTCTAGTTCCAGGATGTGGGGAATGGTGCCCCAGGCCTGTTTGGGTCCTAACCTTAGGCACTCCTTTCTATCCCCAAGCCCATGGCCAGGGGTCCCAGCCACCCTGACCCTCAAATACTTTTACTTCCTGTTGTCCCTCGGAGTTGGGGAGGGGACGAGGGGGTGAAGGGAGGGCTGAAAGCTTCAGTTCTCTCCTCTGCCCTGGAATCAGAACCAGAAACTCCACTCTTCTGTATGAGCCCACAGTCAGCAAGTTCCCTGCCCCTTTGATGTCACTCTCGCTGGGGTTCACTCCTTCTCATGGACAGCTGCAGCCTAGACCATGTCTGGTCAGTGCACGTGGACCTGGTATCCCAACAGTGCCGATCTTGGCAACGGGTTGGTTTTGGGAGGGGTGAGAAACAGGGAGGAGTTGAGGATGACACCTAGATTTTGAGCCTGAGGACTTGGGAGGGTGGTATTGCTCTCTGCAATAGTAGTTAGAGGGGAAAGGGGTTTAGCCGGGAAGATAATGTGTGGTTTGGAGTTGAGTTTAAGATATCCATTGGACATCCAGTTCAAGATGTCTTTAAGGCAGTTGGAGATATGAGATTGGAGGTTGGCAGAGAGCTTGGGACAGGATAAGTAGATCTGAGAATCAAAGGTCAGTTCAGATGTAGGTACTGTTATCCTTCCTAGGTTGTCAGCTTGGTTATTATTACAGTTGAGTGACTATGACCTTGAAATTGTGAACCTGAGTCAGTGAAGCAAGGAGGACCCTGGATGATCCTGGGGTGATAGTCCATTGATGGGGAGGGGCTGATCCTCTTCTCACCTGCTGTATAATGAATGAGAACTTAAGTCCACAGAGAAGTAGAAGCTGTTACCTGATGTTTCACTGATGCTGGAGGTGACCCCCAGTTCCTGAGGGAAGTTAATGGAACACAGAGCTGTTGATTCTTTGAATGTGGGCCTGCCTGGGGATGGATTGGGCATTTGTCCTCTGAGGACCAGATTGGCTAAATATGGAGAGACTCATCTCAAGAGGGCTAGTCACAGGGTGATGAATTCTTTGGTCCTGGAAACTCAGTATTACAGCATAAGCCTGCTGAGTTTAAGAAGAGGGCTCTCAGGACAATAGCTTGCAAGGAAAACAAATATAAAAGAATACAGCAAATGAGACGCTAGAAAAGATAAAATGCCAGAAGAGAATAGAATTCAGAGTTCACTTGAGTCAATTTTATTTCACACCCTCCCTCTCCCCTTTCCCATGACCCCATAGAGCCTCTTTCATCAAGTTAGAGGCTAAGAATTTGAAACATGAAATCCTGGCTAACCCTTGTATTTCTTCTTATGCTTGTGGAAACATTAGGTCAAGGAAGGACAAGGGAAAGAGAAGACAGACTCTCTTAGAGATAAGTACACAGCAACAACACAGAAGCTCCTCTGGGGAAGGGCGGCCCTCAGGGCTCTTTGAGAAGTGAAAAAGCCTGCCTTCCTCCCTCCCTTTTTCTTCTTCCCTCCCTCCCTCCCTCCCTCCCTTCCTTCCTTCCTTCCTTCCTTCCTTTCTTTTTTCCTTCCTTCCATTATTCCTTCCTTCCTTTCTTTTTCTCCCTCCTTCCTTTCTCTTTTTCTTTCCTTCCATTCACCTTCTTTCCTTCCTTTCTCTTTTTTCTTTCTTTTTCTCCCTTCTTCCTTCCTCGCCTTCCTTTCTTTTTTTCTTCCTTCCATTCTTCCCTTCTTCCTTCTTTCCTTGTTTGCTTCCCCTCCCATTCTTTCCTTTAATGATAGGATTATTGAATTTTAGCGCTAGAGGGGACTTTTGAGATCACCTGCTTGACCCCTTCATTTATTTTTACCTGAGTTAAATTTTTTTAAAAATTGACATTTTAATTTTTACCTCACCATTTTCACATTGGAAATGAAGATGATGTAAAAAAAAATGATGATATGGGTTCCCTACCAGTGAGCCATTCCGTGGATGGCAATCCTCTGGACATGGTGACCTACAGATTTTTAATAGAGTAACACTGAATTTAACGTAATAAAGATTACCAGAGAAAACAATTTAGTTCAGCAAAAGTAACCATGTTAACCTAGTCTGATGATCTATGCAGTGTCTCACACCCGGAGAGACAAAAGTTTCTATTCTCCTGCAGAGCCAAGGCTGGTGATTGATCAAATAGAGAGTCTCTGATTGATTTTTAAAGCCTTTCTCGAGCTGATCTCCGCCTAACTTTCCAAACTTCTCGCACTTTGAAGCCCTCCCTTGCAGGTGCTCGGTGATCCAGGCACCCTGGCCTCCGGCTGTTTCTCATTTCCGGGCTCGGACATTTACCAGGCTATCTGCAGGCCCCGAATGCTCCGCGTTCTCATCTCTGCCTCCTCCCAACTTCCGCCGCAGGAAGCCTTCCCAGAGTCCTCCTCATTCTAGCGCCTTCCCTTACAGTTTATTCTGCCTGCGTATTGATGGTGCATATGATCTGCCTCGTTGTCTCCCCCATTAGATTGTGAACTTCTTAAGGACCTGGACAGTCTTTTGTGTTGTTGATTTGGTCATGCGGAGCTTAGGACTTGGGACATAATAGGTGTTTCTCGTTGCCTGTTATGATTCTAATTTCACCATGTCACTTTCAGCCTTGGTCCCGCCCCCTTTCCCCACTGCAGGATCTTTGCACTGGATCTTCTAGCTAGGATTTCGCTTCCTCTCCTAGAACCACCCTCCTCTCTCACGTAAAGAAGACGCAAGCAGCCCTGCCTCCGGCAGGGTGAACAGCTGACGTCTCGTGCATATGCATATCAGGTGGTTGGCGAAGTCCAGGTCTGTGTCAGCAGTGCAGCCTCTGGTCCTGGTAGGTCGGGCTGACTCCCTCTCCCTCACCCGTCCGCAGCTTTCCGGTGCTGGGGCAGTGCACGGAGCTTGTGGGGACACTCCTGAGGCCTGCGATGAGCTCCCTGGACCTAGCCCGGGTGGGCGCTTGTGTCCTCAAGAGCGTAGCCACAGGGGAGGTAAGGAAAACGGAGGGGAGGAGATAAGCCGCTCCTACGTCTGGGGTGGGGGCCTCTGGAGTAGATGGGAAGGGGTCCCTGTTTCACGCCCCTCTAGGGGTGGGTTCGCTGTTGCACGTCTCCTAGAGAGTTGGGCCCCTCTTGCATGCTTAGAGGTGGGGTACTTATAATACATCTCAGAGGCGGGGTCCCAGTTGCAAGCCTCATTGTGTGTGTGTGGGGGGGTCCTAGCTGAAAAGTCCATGTTGCACCCTGTCCCTGGGGGTAGGGTCCTCATTCCACCCCTAGGGAGAGGTGGTCCTGGGTGCAGCACCTGTAACACATCTCTAGGGGTGAGATGGGGCACTCATTGCACATTTTACAGAGGAAGTCTCCAAAGGTGGGGTCCCAATTGCATGCCGGGGGCAGGGTGAGGTACTCTTTGCACTTCTCAGAGAGGAGGTAGCATGCCTCTAGGGATCTCAGTTGCATTCCTGGGGCGGGAGATGGGTTATTCCATGCACACCTGGGAGGAGGAAGGTGCCCATAGCACACCTTCAGGGGGTGGGCCTCTTCCAAAGGGACAGCCTGTTGCCCCTCCCCCTCACCGGCACCTGCCGCTCTGCTGGGGCTCAGGAGGCTTGCCCTTGCCCTGGAGTGGGTGGACCCTCACTGGCTTTGGCCGTCTTTGGTGGGGCGGGTGCAGGTCGTGGAGCTGAGGAGCCTGTGGCAGGAGCGCACCTGCGTGGTCCTGGGTCTGCGGCGCTTCGGCTGCATGGTGTGTCGCTGGATTGCCCAGGATCTCAGCAGCATCAAGGACCTCCTGGATCAGCACGAGGTGCGCCTGGTGGGCATCGCCCCGGAGACCCTGGGCCTGCAGGAATTTCAGGAGGGGAGCTACTTTAAAGGAGGTGAGTAGGGACAGGCAGCCTCCAATGGTGAAAGCCTGGGATTCCAAACCAGGCCCCGCCGCCCCTAATCTTAGCTTGGCCATTTATTAGTTGTGGGACCTTGGACAAGTCATTTCCCCACTTTGGGCCTCATTTCCACTCTTCCCCACCCCCACCGCCGGACTGGGGCACAGTCCTTTCAGAGAGGTAGGTAGGTGGCTAGTGATTGGAGTGCTGGTCTAACCTCTCTCATCTGGGAAAGAATCTTAGTACTAGACCTGCCCACCTAATATCTAGATCTGGGGTAAATAACACCATCGCCAATAATAATGATAATAACAATCACGTTTATATAAGGGTTTAAAATTTGGAAACATTGTCACTGTGTTTGAAAAGGTCTACTTATAATAGCTAATATTTCTGTAAGTGTTTTAAGGTTTGCAAAATGCTTTACATACTCATTAAAGCAACTTTGAGGTTCTACCTCACACTCTTCAGATAGGCCAAGATGAACAGAGAAAAATGACAAATTTTAGAGTGGCTGTGGGTGAACAGGGACACTCATACATTGTTGGTGAAGCTATGAAGTGATCTGGCCATTCTGGAAAGCAGTTTGGAACCTTGTCTCCGGATCACTAAATGGTGCATATCCTTTGACTCGGCAATACCACTCCCAGGCCTATACCCTCAAGAAATTAAAGCAAGAGGAAAAGAATCTACGTGTAAAAAAATATCTATAGTATGAAAATATTTTCATGGTAGCAAAAAATTGGAAACTAAAAAGGTGTCTTCCCATTGGGGAACTGGTAAACAAATTATGATATGTGAATTAAATGGGAAATAGTTTTTATTTAGAATAATATTTTATTTTTCCCCATCACATGTAAAAATAGTTTTTAACATTCATTTTTTTAAAATTTTGAGTTCCAAATTCTCTCCTGCCTTCCCTCCCTCTCCCCCTCTTGGGACGGTAAGCTGTTTGATAGGTTATACATGTGCAACCATGTTAAAACATTTCCATATTGTGAAAGAAAATACAGACCAGAAAAATGAAAATAAGAAAATAAGTTTAAAAAAGTATGCTTTGATCTGTGTTCAGACTCCATCAGTTCTTTCTCTGGAGGTGGATGGCATTTTTCATCATGAATCATTTGGAAATGTCTTGGATCATTGTACTGGTGAGAGTAGCTAAGTCATTCCCAGTTGATCATCATACAATGTTGCTGTTGCTATATACAGTGTTCTCCTGGTTCTGCTCATTTCACTTTGCATCAGTTCATGTAAGCCTTTACAGGTTAATGGGATATTATTGTGCCAAAAGAAATGCTGAAATAGACAATTTCAGAGGAAGTTGGGAAGACTTTTATGAAGAGAGATTGAGCAGATCTAGGAGAAAAATGTTTATACTGATAACAACATTATAAAGAAAAACAACTTTAAAAGACTTTAGAACTCTAATCAACACAGTGATAAACCAGGAGTTTATGAATGAAGATAATAATAATAATATAAAGCAATAATATAAATAAAATAATAATAAACATAATATAAGAATGAAGATTTAAAAAACACCACTCATTTCCTTACAGAGAGATGATAAACTTAAAATGCAGAAAGAGACATACATTTTCAGACATGGTTAGTGTAGGAATTGTTTTTACTGGACTATGAAGATATGTATTGGGGAATTTGGTTTTTTAATTTGCCTAATAGGTGGGGGGGTATAGTAAGAGGGACCAATCAATTTTTTTAAAATGCTTGCTACTTGAAGATTTTTTAAAACATTAAAAAATTAAATTAAAAAGTACCTTACATATATTACCTCATAATTATCTACATGTTGTCTGCTGATCCTCAATAACCCTGAAAAGTAGATAATATTATTATGCCCATTTTATGATGAGAAAACTGAGGCTGGCAGATTTGTTGACTTGCCCGGGGTCACACAGCTAGTATCTAAGGCAAGATTCAAATGGAATTCTTCCTGACTCTGAGCCCAGACTTTAGCTGCTATGCCCCCTTTTGTCCTCTAAATCTCAGCCATCAGGAGGCAGGTGTGTTTTATTGTCTGTTTCCTGGGACTGTTAGTCATTAATTGGTTTGTCAGTGACTCGCTCTTTGGTTTCCTTTGGTTAGTGGTTTTCGTCTACAGCGGTTGTGGTCATCATTCACTCTCTTATTTACTACCTAGCTTCATTGTATCATTCATAGGAATCTTCCCAAGTTTCTCTGAATCTCTCCTCTTCCCACCTCTTTTTCAGAGCTTTATCTCGATGAAAGTAAGCAGAGTTACAAGGAACTGGGATTTAAGAGGTGGGTGTGAAATCCGAGCCCTGCTGGTGACTGCGATGGGGACAGATTGGGAGGAGGCAGAGAGATGTGGGGTTTGGGGAGTGGGGGCAGGGCACAGGCAGGATTCCTCCCTACTCCACATTCCATCCCCTACTCGGTCTTCCCTTGATCTGGTATTTGCAACCACCTGCTGGCCTGCTGTCTGGTGCTTCCAGGCTCCTCCCTCTCCAATCCACCTATCCCTCCCCTGCTAATCCTAAAATGCGTATTTGACCTCATCACCCCACCCTGCTGCACCCTTTCTCAAAATTATGGAATGTCTCCCTGTTGCCTCAAGAATAAAGTAAAAACTACTGAGAGCCTGGTGTTCAAAGCCTTATACAGTCTGCTTCCTTTTAAGGATAGTCAGTGTAAAATGCTCTATGGACCTTCAATACTAGCAGTTAATTATTCTTTCAGAGGCAGCTGATGGTACTGTGTACAGAGCCCTGGGAAGTCAGGAAGTCTTGAATTCGAATATGACCTCAGACACTGGGTGACCCTGGGCAAGTCATTGACTGTCTCTGATTGCTTCACTTACCCCGTATGTGAAGTGGGGATAATGATAGCCCTTCCTGGAGAGTTGTCCTGAAGATCAAATGAAATGATATTTATAAAGCACTTAATAGTGTTTCTTCCCTTTTCCCTCTGCCTTTCCCTTCTCCTTCTTCCCTTCTTTCTCCCCTTCTCCTTCTTCCTTTCTCCCTCTCCTTCTTTCTCTTCCCTTCTCCCCTTTCCTTCTCCTTCCATTCTTCTTCCCCATCTTCCTCTCCCCTCCCTCCCCCATTTTCCCTCTCCCTCTTTCTCTTCCATTTTCCCTCTCCCTTTCCTTCTCCTCTCTCTCCTTCCTTTCTCCTTCCTCCTTCCCTCTCTTTTCCCTCTTCCTTTCTTCCTCTCCCTCCTTTCTCCCTTTCTCTTTCCTTCTCTCTCCCTCTCTTCCTTTATCTCTTTTCTTCTCCTTCCTTCTCTCCTTCCTCTTCTCTTTTCCCTCTTCCCTTCTTCCTCTCCTTTTTGATTTCCCTCTTCCTTTCTCCCTCTCCTTCTTTCTCTTCCATTCTTCCTCTCCTTTCTCCTTCTCTCTCTCTTTCCTTTCTCCTTCATCCTTCCCTCTCCTCTTTTCCTTCTTCCTTTCTTCCTCTCCTTCTTCCTTTCTCCTTTTCCCTTTCCTCCCCTCTCTCCCTCTTCCTCCCTTCCTTATGTCTTTTCTTCTCCCTCTCCCTCTCTCCTTCTTTTCCCTTTTCCCTCTTCTTCTCCTCCCCTTCTTCCTCTTCCTTCTCCCCTCTCTCCCCCATTCTCCCTCTCCCTCTTTCTCTCCCATTCTCCATCTCCATGTCCCTTCTCCTTCTCTATCTCCTTCCTCCTTCCCTCTCCTTTTTTCCCTCTTCCTTTCTTCCTCTCCTTCCTTTTTCCCTTTCCCTTTCCTCCTCTCTCTCCCTCTTCATCCTTTCCTTATCTCTTTTCTTTCTTCTCCCTCTCTCCTTCCTCTTCCCTTCTCCCTCTCTTTTTTGATTTCTCTCTTCCTTTCTCTCACTTCCTCTATCCCTCTTCCTTTTTATTTCTTCTCTTCTCCCTCTCCTTTTCTCTCTTCCTGTCACCCTTTCTCCCTCTTCCTCTATCCCTCTCCCCTTTCCCCTCTCTTTCTCTCCTTCTTCCTCTTTCTCTGCGCCTTGCAGGTACAACAGCCTGAGCATTATCCCTGCTGCTATAGGGAAGCCAGTCCGAGATGTTGCTGCCAAGGTCAGTGAATGAGGTTGTCTGGGACTCAGCTTTATCCCTTGTTTCCCCGGGATTGGTGTTATTCCAGTGACCTGGGTTTTGCTTCCCCGACACAGGCAAAGGCCATTGGCATCCACGGGAACTTGTCTGGTGACCTGCTGCAAAGTGGAGGGATGTTAATTGTCAGCAAAGGTCAGTGATTTGGGAAGCGGGCTGCATGGCTGCTGGCCTCATCTTCCAATCAGGCAGGCTGGGCAGGGTTAGACCCAGTCATGTGCTCTTCCTTGAAGCAAGTTAGGGCCCAGAATATTCCCCAAAAGAGTCAGCTCATCTTCTCTAGCATATTGGCCTAGTGAATGGAAGGCTGGCTTTGGAGTCAGGAAACCTGGGTTCAACTCCTGCCTCTGACATTTACCAGCTGTGTGACCTTGGGCAAGTCACTTAACTTTTGTGTTGGTTTCATTATCTATAAAATATGAAAAAGTAATGCCTAGAGGACTGACCTTATAGACTTCTTATGATGATCAACTCAGATAATATATGTAAAATGCTTTGCAAACCCTAAAACACTACAACAACAATTACTACCATTGTTATAGCAGTCTAAGATTGGCAAGGTGTTTTGTGTACACCATCTCATTTGACCCTTACAGCAACTCTATTGGGTAGATAGGTGCCATTGTTATCCCCACTTTACAGATGAGTAAACAGAGGGTCAGTGATTTGTCACACAGCCAGTAAGTATACAAGGCAGGTTTCAAACTCAGGTCCTCCTAACTCCAGTCTGGCACCCTGATAAAAATGATGATAACACCAGTAATAATATTTTGTCCCGATGTTTTTGTTCAGTTATAAAACACAGTTATTTTGTGTACCTGTGCGGTAGTCTGTTGAACACTAACTGTCAATGAGTAATAGCAGGATTGCAGCTTATATGAGGACAATCTGTATGACTTGGAGTCAGGAAACTCTGGATTCAAATCCTCCCTCCCCCCACCCCATGCTTAGGTGGTTTAAACTCTCTGTGCAGGTATCTGAGCAACAACAAAGCTCTTGGCCCAGTGCCTGGCTGTATAAACGGCTTATTTCCTGCCCACTCAAACAGGGCTCTTTTTGCTTTTGGGTTACAGTAGGAGATTGCTGAAATTCCCTGAGAGGGGCCTGGAGCCCAGTCCTCTGAGTCAGACGCTCCTATGAAGAGGGACGGCATTGCTCCCCTGTGCTAGGAGGATGGAGAATGGGCTCCAACCGAAGCTCCCATCCTGTCTCAGGGAGTCCTGAGTGTTCCCGATCTGCTTTCCCACAGGCGGTGACAAGGTGCTGCTGCATTTCATCCAGAGCTCACCCGGGGATTACGTTCCCCTGGAAACCATCCTCCAGACGTTGGGCATCTCTGCAGACGCGCGCTCCAGCGAGAAACCTCAGGTGAGCTGCCGTCAGAGCTGGGGAAGGGTGGAGCTCATTTGGGCACCCCCAGGACCACCACCCTGCTGGGGGGCTGCCCTCCTTCTCCAGCGTTTTGGGACTGTGGGGAACGGACCCCTGTGCTGCAGCAGTTCTGTAACAGCTACTATGTGCCAGGCGCTGTGTAAGTGCTTTGTTGGTGTTCAGAGACCTCCAGAGGAAAATGGGAAGCAGAGAGTTTAAGCCTTGTGAGTATGGTCTGGGAAGATGAGGGCCTTGGGAACCCTGGCCTCTGGGACCTCTTTCTCCAACCTCAGAATAATAATCGTAGCTCGTCTTTCCGGAGCACATTTTAACATTTGCTAATCACTTGACACACAATCAACGTGGATTAATTAAATTCCTGCTATGTCAGAGAGTCGGTCAGCAGGCATTTACTAAGTGCCTACTGTGTGCCAGGAGCTGTGCTAAGTCCTCGCAGTGCAAAGAAAGGTGAAGAAAAGTCCCTGTTCTCAAGGAGCTGATGGAAAAGACAACACGCAAACAAAATATAGATGGGAAGATTGGAGATAGTCAATAAGGAAAAAGCATTGTACTAGGCGCTGGGGGTACAGAAGCAAAAGAGAAAACCTCCTTGCCCCCAGGGAGCTTACATTTTCATTTTATCTTCATAATAGTTGGTGCAGTGGATAGAGCACTAGGCCTGGAGTCAGGGGGACCTGAGTTCAAATCTGACCTCAGACATTTACTCGCTGTGTGACCGTAGGCAAGTCACTTCACCCTGTTTGCCTCAGTTTCCTCATCTGTAAAATGAGCTGGAGAAGTATCTTTGTATCTCCAGTATCTTTGCCAAGAAAACCCCAAATAGGATCACAAAGAGTTGGACACCAATAAAAAAATGACAGAATGACAACATGATGCTTTATATTTATTTTAATCATTTAAAATACTGATTCTGAGAAGCATCCCCAAGCATCACCAGGCTGCCAAAGGTGCCCAGGACACAAGAAAGGTTAAAAACTCCTGTCTTAGAGAGTTACCTAGAACATTACCCAGGCTCCCACAGTCTGTATGAGTCGGAGGTGAGACTGGAACCCAGATCTTCCTCGTTCCAAGGCTAGCATTTTATCTGTTAACGACATTCTAACTCTTGATGCTGTTATTATTTTATATGTGTTATATGAGAAATGTTTCATGATTTTCTAGGCATCTTGGTGCCTCAGGAAGACCTGAGTTCAAATCCAGCCTTATTCATTCTTTATCTGCGTGACCCTGCACAAGTCATATAACCTCTGCTATCTCAGTTTCCCTTACTGTAAAATGGAAATAATAGCAGCACCTTCCTCCCGGGGTTGTTAGGAGGATCACATGAGATAATATTTGTAAAGTGCTTAATGCAGTTCCTGGCATATAGTAGGTGCTTAATAAATGCTTGTTTTTCCCCCTCCCTAGTTGAGGAGCCTTCCATCTCCCCAAACAGTAACCTTTTATTTACTTAGCGTAAGTTTATACATTTGTACACATGGCCTCCCTCATTAGAATATAAACTTCTTGAGGGCGGTGTGTTTGTATCTCCCCCTCATGCCCAGGACAGTGCCCCTCCATGATAGGTTATACTTGTCTTGTCCTTTATGCGTTTCAGAGTGGAGTACAGATTTCCTAATACAAGCCTACTCTTCCAGCATCCAATTGTCCATCTCTTTTTCCCTTTCAGTGCACTGAAGACACGTGCACGAGGTGACGGGCACCAGACCCTGAAACAATCCCCCTGCCAGACTCCTGTACGCTGTCACCTCCCCCTGAGTTTCTTCTCAGGAGGGGCTCAGACCGAAGAGCCGATTCACAGGAGGCAGGGGTAGAGCCAAGATCTGCCTGTGAGCCATCCATGACCCATGAATGCTATTAATTAAAATTGGGTTATCAAATGACGTCTCTGATTGAGTTGAGTCTTTGTGCCTGGAAGCCAGCATCTCCCAGCTCTCAAGGATCACATATCCTAGGTAACAAGTATTGACTATAATCTCACATTGATAATAGTAAGAGATTCATCATAAAAAAAACCCCACAACTTATCTTGATATAGTTAGTAATCATTGCTAAATAGATGCTCTTTCATCCCTAAGTTCAACATTACACAAATGATTTTACTTTAAGATGCTTAGTAACAAACCACAGAAGACTTGGAATGGGACATGTAAATATAATAATCCCAAATTGCATACAGAGAATAGCTTATATGAAAATCTATCTATAGTAAAACATGTTCATTTATTAGCCATGTTCAAATGGACATAAACATAGACAACTGAATCTAAGAATCCCTTTAAACAATGGAACTTTTTTTTAAAAATTAATTTATTTGTTTATTTTTAATTTTCAACATTCACTTACCTAAGATTTTGAGTACTAAATTTTCTCCCCATCTCTCCCCTTGCCCCACCCCAAGACATTGTTAAATCACAATGGGAACATCTTTAAATGACTCTTAACTTAAAATGCATGCTCTACGCACAGATTCTAATCCCAGATTCAATAATAAACATAAGTAAAATCAGATTTTCTCTAAGATAGCTCATAAGTTACTACTCTCCACTAACATAACTGACTGTACTGAAATCCCATTCCTTAAAACCAAAAGAGGTTCCAGACTTTAACCTCACAACTTAAATAGATTTACATCTTTGTTTCACAGGCTCCTCTACCTTTATCTTATTATACTCATATCAGTCTGAAAAAATGAGATCCTTCAGGAACTGAATCTTACTGAAGTACTAATTTAACTCTTGCTTAGGCCATGGAATGATTAAAAAATTCAGGTCAAAATAGTAAGATCTTTCCCACTTTCAGCTTTTTATAGTAATTCAGATGCCTTAGTATTAATCTAATAACCCAATAGATCCAATATTGCAATGACAAATGTCTACTCTTTGCCTACTCTGATATCAGAAATGTGCTCCAAGAGTGATAAGCAGGGACATGTTTTTAACAGCATCAAAACTAGTCCTCAAGGCCTACACTACTATGAGTGGCCCAGCATATGGACCCATGTGGACAGATTCTTTGCATGGGAAAATGAATTAAGAAGAATCCAACCTTAGCCTTCCCAAGGTCACCTCCCTACCTTATTCCCAGGGATAGATATTTCCTAGCTTCAGATCTCAGATGTCACCCCCATTGAGCTTCTGACTGCTGACGTTTTTCTTAAAGCACCCATCTAAGATCAGTAATGCAAGGACACAATAAACCCAAGAATGAAACTCAAAAAAGAATATTCAGGGTCCCAAAATAAGTGTTCTCCTCAAACAACGAAGTCTCACTAATCACAGTAGGATTGGATACAATTGTTATCAATATCATCAAATTATTGCAATAAATTAGCTTACAAATAAAATTTATCAGACCTTCTAAAATCACACAAAAGTATTTCTCTTTAGTAAAAAATAGCTTAAAATGTATTGTGATGTTAAAAAGGTAATCGCAAACTTTTATGAAGTAAATTGGTTGGAAACTGACAAATATTTCTCTCTTGTTCAACCCTAAAATAAAAATAAATCTTTAAAATTGGAATTTATCAAAATTATGTGGATATAAAATGTCTTTAAGTATAATAAATAAATCCCCAAAGTATTATAACAAAATAAATTCCTAATTAGGACAAATTCCTAATTATCAACCCCCCCAGTCAACAGGTGTTTGCAATGGGAAGTATAAGGGAGTTAGAAGGCTGGGATAGGCCCAGTAAGGACTTCCCCTACAGAGGCTTGGAAAGGCAGCCTTAAAACAAAAGTCAATATGACCTGTTACAAAAGGTGGGACCTCATTAGTAACATGAGAAAGAAATTGTTTTCCCCCTAGATAAAGCCTTTATTAGAGGATATTGCCACATTAGTGGGGAAGAAAAAGGAATTTTTAAGTGGGGAATACCCACAGGCTAAATCTGATTTGAAAGTACCTGAGTATTCAGGGGAATTGTTTTAGCCAAAGTATTAATTTTTATTACTCTGCCCTTAAAAAATTACTGTGGAACATATGTGCTGCTCCTCAAAGGATCCATGTCTGTTTTGTCTGTACTATGTTATCCATGCTTTGTGCTACCCCATGGCCAACAGGTGTTTTACCTATGCCTTTTGGTGTGATCAGCCAAAAGAAACAGACAGTAAAAAAAAAAAAAAGAAGAAGAAGAAGAAGAAGAAAAGAAAAATGATCAGCTAGGTGGCACAGTGGATAGAGCACCGGCCCTAGAGTCAGGAGGACCTGAGTTCAAATCTGTACTCAGACACATAACACTCACTAGCTGTGTGACTCTGGGCAAGTCACTTAACCCCAACTGCCTCACCAAAAAAAAAAAAAAGTGAACTTTCCAAAAAAAGTTTTAAAAAGAACACAAATCTCTTTTTCTTCTCTGTTTCCAACAATGGCCATGTTGGAGGTGGCTGAGATGAAAGAAAGATACAAAATTAATTGAAAACTAAGAAACAAACAAAAAAAATATTGGAAACCAAAATTGTGAAAAAGGAATAATTAATTTCTTTCATTTCAATCAAAATTTAGATATTTTATGAAGTATTTTGGTGAGCCTTTGGGGTACCAGCAAACCCATATAAAGTCTGGAGTTGACAGGAGGGAGGTCTTCCCACTTCAGATACCAATTTGTCAAAACCTGACTTGCCTTGCTGGTGCCTATGAACAACTCTGGTCCAGTCAGGAGTTATGCATATTACACGATGTTTATTGTAAAGACAGGTGGAAGAGGGCCAGAAGCAGGAGAACATTCTACACAGTAACAGCCATGTTGCGTGATGACTAACGTTGATAGACATAGCCCTTCTCAGCAATGCAAGGATCTAAGACATCTCCAAAAGTCTCATGATGGAAAATGCTATCCACGTCCAAAGAAAGAGCCATGGAGGTTGAATGCAGATCGAAGCATACTATTTGTTCTTTTTTTTGTTTCATTTCTTCTTTCTGGTGGTTCCTCTTATGGGTTCCAATTCTTCTTTACAACATGACTAATGTGAAAATATGTTTAATAGGAATGTACGTATAGAGCTTATATCAGATTTCACACCATCTTGGGGAGGGAGGTGGGGTGGGAGGGGGAGACAATTTAAAACTCAAAAGCTTTTGGAAATGGTTGTTGAAAACGAAAAATAAATAAATTAATTAAAAAAAAAATCTGGCCTGAGACACTTACTAGCTGGGTGACCCTGGGTAAGTCACTTAACCCTTTTTGCCTCAGTTTCCTCATCTGTAAAATGAACTGGAGAAGAAAATGGCAAACCACTCCGGTATCTTTGCCAGGAAATCCCTATAGGATCACAAAGAGTCAGATATGATTGAACAACTGAACAAGTCTAATAAATAAATAAATATATGCAAAGTAAATATGAAATAAACCTTCTGTAAAGCACCAGGTGGCCAGCCACCTTCTTCATGCTGGTCCTTGGAAAGCAGACTCTGTTCATTTCAGGCCCATACTCACAGCTCATCTAACCTCTCAGAAGTCAGGCTTCATTGCCCTGTCTGCCATGCTCTGCTCTGGGACAGGACGTCAGAACTGGAAGTTGCTGGTGAAACTTTTGGCCTGCCTTAGATATCACTTGCCATCTGGAATGCTTTTGGCTGCAAAGCTAAGAGAAGGTGCAAGCAGGTAATGGATACTATTGCTGGGGATATAAGCTTTGTCTCAGTGACAGAGAGTATGACTTGGCCTTGGTGTTTCCAAGACAAAGCTCCCAAAAGCATTGTCAAGTTCCCCACTGTCTTGACTCTGGGATGTTATTTCCCGTAGTGGAGCCGATTCTTCTTGTTAAGTGGTTTCCTGCACAGGCAAGTTGGTGACTGACCCATTGGCCTCAAGGAAGTCACAGATTTTTCAAGGGTGGGATGCTTCAGCCTGAAACACAGTAAAGTATAGATGGAGAAGAAAAAGTAGTCAATTTGAAGCTGTTCCAAATTTTTCAGACCTATTTCTCTCTCTCTCTTTGTTTAACTATTATCACTGATCCAGCCCTTACATATCACAGGAGAAATCTGAAACTCAGAAAAAAAGGAAAGTGATTTATCTAAGATCAAACGACTTTACATATAACCCCTCACTTCCAGGACTTCTCATGGCTTTTCCCTATCACGGGGTAGGAAGGGGCCTTAGAGGCAGTGACCCCACCCAAACCTGAGCAAGAATCCTCTCCCTCAGCTCCTCAGAACTCGATTCTCCCGCCTCCATTTGAAGACATCCAGGAAGAAGAACCGGCTGCCTCTTAAGACAACAGCTTCTACTTGACAACAGCTCGAATGCTTAGGAAGCTTGTCCTGCCTTTCAGCCTGACCATAGATGACCCTCTTTGTGACTCCCACCCACTGCTTCTGGGTCTACCCTCTGGGGCCAAACAGAACAAGAAAATCTTCTAAGGAACAACTGGAAGTCACCTATCATGTGTCCCCTTTGCTCCCTCCCTGCTCCAGACTAAACACGCCCAGATCTTTCATTCAGGTCTCACATGGAAGGAATATGAGGCTTTTCACCATCCGGGCCACCTTCCTCTCTTATCAACATCCTTCCTAAAATGGGGTGTCTGGAATCCTTGTGTTTTTTACAAAAAATGTCACTTATTTAATGGAAAGATAGATTTAGAAATCACTGGCCAAATTGAAACATTCAGGGTTTGTTGTCATAGATCGAAGGTGGATGAAAGGGATGTTCTCAGCTAGAACTGGGGACCCCCAGGCAGCAACATTAGCAGAAAGATGTCGGGTCAGTCAACGCAACTGATCAATCCATAAATCTGGCAAAAGCTACTCACTCTTCCTTTTACATCATAAGCTGAAATGCAAAGAAAATGAGGGATAGATACATTTTTCAGACATACAATGAATAGGTAAATAGAATTACAGAAACATTGATATAAGGTGCAGTAGATAGAGCCCTGGGCTCAGAGTCAAAAAGACTTGGGTTCATATAATGCCTCTAACACTACCTATGTGACTTTGCAGTCAATCAATGTAAAAACATTTATTAAGCACCTACTCTATACCAGGAACCATGCTAGGTACTCAAGAGACAAAGACAGAAGGGAGAGAGCCCTTACCTTTGAGGAACTCTCATTCTGATGTGTTCTTCCTCCCTCCTGCCAAAACAGGATCTTGTAAGTATCTGGCACTTACAGTCTACTTCTCTATGTCCGTGGTGAATTCCACCATCCCCACCAGCCAGTAGGTGCTTTGAAAATGGCAACTGTTTTACTGTTGTATGGTATCTGTACAGAGGAGGATCTTAATGAATGTTTATTGAATTGAACCAAATACCGCATTCACCTTGGCTCCTGAACGTATTGCTCTGCACATAGTAGGTGATTGATAAATGGCTCCTGAGATAAATCCAGTAGCTGAATTGACTTGCATTGGGTGTTTATATGTCATTAGCACAGTGCTTGGCACACAGTAGGTGCTTAATAAATGCTACTTGAGTTGACATGTGTAGAACATTTTTGACTGCACAGTTCCTGGCATATAGTAAGTGCTTAATAAATGCTTTATTTATAACCTGTATATTCATCTATCCATCTATCTGTTTATCCATTTATATTTCCATCTATCATCTATCCTTCCATTAGCTATCTATCCATTCACCCATTCCTCCTTTCATTCAATCATCCTTGCATTCATCATTTTCTCTGTCATCTCTCTATTCTTCCTTCCATCTATCTTTTTATTTAGCTTTATTTATTCCTTTTGTTACATTTTAAGTTCCAAACTGTCTCCCTCTGTCTTCCCCATCCTATACTAGAGAAGGCCACCATTTGACACAGATTTATAAATATATGTAAAACCATCCTATGTGTACTTCTGTTCATCACTTCTTTCTCTAGAGGGACATAGTGTCTTCCTTCCTAGGTCCTTTATAGTAGATTTGAGTATTTATAGTACTCAGAACAACTAGGTCATTCACAGTTATTTTTAAAACAATGTTTCCATTACTGCATATAACATTCTCCTTGTTCTGCTCACTGCGCTTTTCATTATTTCATGCAAGTCTTTCCAGGTTTTTCTAAAGTCAACCAGCTCATCATTTCTTATCTTTTTTTTTTTTGGCATTTTTAATTTAGGTTTGTTTTATTTAAGTTTAATGTTAATTCCATGCTGTGTTTCAGTAAGAACAATACAGATTCTGTATCTGTGGCTCCAGTCAGATATCCAGTAGTACAAATTAGCTTCAAGTTACAGACACTGAATGAAAGAGGTTGAGTGAGCAAAGGAGGGCAGGGAGTAAAGGGGGAGAAGGGGAAGAGGGAAGGAGAAAAACCAAAGAATTGAATGCACATGCAGGCTTTTCAATACCACCTTCAATGCTAACCTGCTGTGAGGGAAGGTCAAAGTCAGCTCATCATTTCTTACAGTATAGTAGTATTTCATCACAATCATGTACCACAACTTGTTCAGCCATTCCCCAGTTCATGGGCATTCCACCAATTTCCAATTTTTTGCCACCACGAAAAGATCTGCTATGGATATTTTAGAACAGGTAGGTTCTTTTCCTTTTTCCCTGATCACCTTGGGAAACAAACCTAATAATGATATTTCTGGGTCACATTCTTCCATCTATCTAGCCTTTCTATATAGCATCTTTCAATCCATCCATCCATCTTTCTATCCATCTATCTATCTATCTATCTATCTATCTATCTATCTATCTATTTATCTACTTATCTATTTATCTACTTATCTATTATATATCTATCTCTACTGACAATCATTACCTCCCTTTGGAGAAAAGACTATTTTCCAAGTTCGCTTCACAAAGTTGAGATGATAAGAAATCTCATTTAGACTGGCTTTGTGTGAATTTAAGGGTTAGTGATTAGCAGCAGAAATATAACTAGGAATGTCTATGCCTGGGGGCAAGTACCACAGACTGAACCTGGGTCAAGTGTACCCTCAGTTAAATGGGGAAGGGTGGGGAGGAGAAAGGAGGAAGGAGGGGAACAGGGGGAAGCACTCCTTCTCTTTCCAGCTGGCATTTCCCTAGATTCACTGAATGAATGTATGATTTAGGTACTGAGATCTGCTATTTCTTGGTTGTTGTCTTTGTTCTGGAAAAGGACCAAAATGTTGGGATCAAGGGATGGTGTGTCTGACTATGAATGATCAGACCAAAACAAGTTTGGCATGCTCTACTACAGGTTGGGCACAAATAATCAATGTGAACTTTTGGGGTGGATTCTCTAAATTTGCTCATTCTGTGTTTCCTTTGAGCTGTTACAATTCTGCTTTGCTTATAGAGCACAGCACCTTCTCTGATGTGGGCTTGCCATGCTGAGTGGTCCTGTGACGGTGTCTCCCATGTCACACAATCAATTCCAAAGTTCTTAAGAGAGAGCTTGAGAGTGTCTTTGTATCGTTTCTTCTGACCACCATGTAAATACTTGCCCTGTGTGAGTTCTCCATAAAATAATCTTTTTGTCAAGTGTATGTTTTGCATTCTAACAACAACGTGGCCAGCCCATTGGAGTTGGGCTTTCTGAAGCAGAGTTTGAATGCTTGGCAGTTTAGTTCAAGAAAGGACCTCAGTGTCTGATATCTTATCCTGCCAGGTGATCTTCAGAATCTTCCTAAGACAATTCAAATGGAAGTGATTCAGTTTTCTGGTATGGCATTGGTAGACTACAGGTTTCATAGGCATACGACATTGAAGTCAGCACACTGGCTCTGTAGGCCTTCAGTTTGGTAGTCATTCTAAAACCTCTTCTCTCCCACACTTTCTTTAGGAGCCTCCCGAACACTGAGCTAGCTCTGAAAATGCATGCATCAACCTCATTATCAATGTGTACATCCCTGGAAATACTACCAAGGTAAGTGAATTTATCCACAGCATTCAAAACTTCTCCGTTTGCTATAACCAATGGTTCCACATATGGATGGTGTGGTGCTGGCTGAAGGAGAACGTGTGTTTTCTTGGTGTTTATTGTTAGGTCAGAATTAGCACAAGCAGCAGAGAATTGATCCATACTTTGTTGCATCTCAGATTCAGGGGCCACATTGAGTGCACAATCATCTGTAAACAGGAAATCATGCACTCCTTCCATTTTGGTCTTGGCTGGTAGCCTTTTCAGGTTGAAGAATTTACCATCAGCACGGTAGCTGACCTTGTTGCCATGTTCTTCCTCATTGAAAGCACTTGACAACATGGCTGAAAACATCATGCTAAAAAGCATGGGAGTTGGGGCAGCTAGGTGGTGCAGTGGATAGAGCACTGGCCCTGAAGTCAGGAGGACTTGAGTTCAAATCCGGCCTCAGACCAAACACTTGACACTTACTAGCTGTGTGACCCTGGGCAAGTCACTTAACCCCAGTTGCCTAAAAGCAAAAAACGAACAAACAAACAAAAAACAAATAAAAAGCATGGGAGCAAGCACACAGACTTGTTTCACTCCATTGGTGACTGGGAATGCACAAGGGCTGCTAAATATAAAAAACAAGAACTCCACAGGATTTACCAGCAGGGTAGTGCATCCATCTCTAAGAAGGCAGCATTTATTTCAATCAAAAGTAAAGTACAAGGAGAGCTTAGAGAGATGTGCGATTCTTGGCTCAGTAAGAAGGCAGATGAAATTCAGTTTTATGCTGATAGTAACAATCCAAAGTGTTTTTATGATGCCATGAAGACAATTTATGGACCAAAGACCTATGGTGCATCTCAACTACTCAGTGCTGGTGGAGCCACATTGAGTAGTGATAAAGACATGATCCTGGAGAGATGGGCTGAACACTTCCACAATGGCCTCAACAGACCATCATCAATCAATGCTGAAGCCATTGACCAACCTCAGGTAGAAGTCAATCTCCCCAGCTGAAGTTCCAACTGAAGAAGAGGTTCTGAATGCCATTAGGCTCCTTTCCTATGGCAAAGCATCTGGTGCTGATTCTATTCCAGCTGAGATTTACAAGGTGGGGGGGGGTCCATTGCTCATACAAAAGCTGACTGAAATTTTCCAGGTTATATGGCAAGAGGAGGTTATCTCCCAGGAGTTCAAGGATGCCTCCATGGTCCATCTCTACGAATGTAAAGGAAATAGATTGTTCTGTGACAATCACAAGGGGGTCTCTCTTAGTCATTGCTGGCAAGATTCTTGCCAGAGTCCTCCTTGATAGACTGATCCTTCACTTGGAAGATGGTCATCTACATGAGAGCCAGTGTGGCTTCAGAAAAAGCCAAGGAGTGGTCGATATGGTGTTTGCTCTAGGGGAAATACCAGGAGCAGAACAGAGGTCTGTACACAACATTTGTAGATCTGACCAAGGCCTCTGATACTGTCAGTTGTGAAGGCTTATGGAAAATTATGTCAAAAGTTGGTTGCCTGGAGAAGTTCATCAGCATTGTATGTCAATTTTATGATGGCATGCTTGCCCAAGTTCTGGATAATGTTGGTTCTAAAGCCCTGAAGGACTCCGATTTTGGTCAGAGCCCTCTAAATCCAATGTCCTGGGGCAAAATCCCTACTGTTCCACCCTCTTTATGTCTCTGCTTACCTGTTTCTCAGTTGTTTTTCTAACTAACGTCACCACCAAAATGATGAAGGCGATGAAGGCAATGACAGCGATGATGATGATGAAGAGAATACCAATAAGTGTGAGTTGAAGATTACTCTTTGGTGAGCACAATGCATCTGTGGTGTTGGTGCCTGGCTTTTCTTCAAATGAACCCTGGGTAGTACAACTAGGAAGACAGATGAAGACACATGTCATCAAACATGAATTTACTCCCATCAGTCCAGCAAAACTGAGTGATCCACATCCTCCCCCACTTACAGTCAGCCAGGCAACGCAGTAGCCAGAGAAGCTTACAGAAGGAGAGGCAGAATATCCCAACTACAGGGAGAGAAGTAGGTAGACAGCAGTGCACATCTCTCTAGTTTGTAGACAGCACACAAAGTCAGGAGGGAGGGCACACATGTGGGATTGGCTGGAAAGCCAGCATGCCCAGAGGCAGGGTCCAAAAAGATTTAGACAAATTAGAACCACCAGATGATGTTGTTGGTTTTTTTTCCTTGTTTTTGAGGGGCCCAGAAATGCAATTTCATCAGTGGGGGGAATTCCTTGATGGAGAAATGCCTTCCCCTGATGCAGGAATTGTCAGGAACTGAGAGCCTTAGATTGTTGGTTAGGGCACTGAGAGGCTATGACCTGCCATTTATCTCTCTCTCTCTCTCTCTCTCTCTCTCTCTCTCTCCTCTCTCTCTCTCTCTCTCTCTCTGTTTATCTATCTATCTATTTGGAAATGGAAAATCTCCTTTATTGACCGAAAACTTCCTGTAAAGGTAAAGGCCTGTCTTGTCATTACTAACATTATCATCAACATCATTGTTATCATTTATCTTCATCAACAACAATATCAAGTAATTAATCCATTACTATGTGCCAGGTGCTGGAGAGGAAAAGAAAGACAAAAAAATGGTCCCTGTCCACATGGAGCTTACATTCTTTTTTTTTTTAAATTTTGATTTATCAATAATCATTTCCATATACTTTTGAGTTTAAAATTTTTCTCCCCCTTCCTCCCCACCACCCTCCCCAAGATGGTGCACAATCTGATATAGGCTATACATTTACATTCCCATTAAACATATTTTTACATTCATGATGTTGTAAGTAGAAATTAAAACCAATAGGAGGAACCATCAGAAAGAGGAAACAAAGCTCAACAGAAGAGGAAAAAAAACCTAGTAATTCAACTTCCATAGTTCTTTCTTTGGATGTGGATAGCATTTTCCATCACGAGGCCTCTGGAGATGTCTTGTATTTCTGGGAAGAGTTAAGTTGATCAGTATTAGTCATCACACAACATGGCTGTTATTTTGTACAATGTTCTCTTGGTTCTGTTCACTTCACTCAGCATCAGTTCATCCATGTCTTTCCAGGTTTTCCTGAAGTCAGCCTGTCCGTCATTTCTTATAGCACAATAGCATTCCATTACATTCATATACCACAACTCAGCCATTCCCCAATTGATGGGCATCCTCTCAATTTCCAATTCTTTGCCACCACAAAAAGGGCTGCTATGAATATTTTTGTACATGTGAGTCCTTTTCCCATTTGTATGATCTCTTTGGGATATAGCCCTAGAAGTGCTATTGGTGGGTCAATGGGTATGCACATTTTTCTGGCCCTGTGGGCATAGTTCCAAATTGCTCTCCAAAATGGTTGGATCAGTTCACAACTCCACCAACAATGTATTAGTGTTCCAATTTTCCCACATCTTCTCCAACATTTATCATTTTCCTGTTTTGTCATGTCGGCCAATCTGATAGGTGTGATGTGGTACCTTTGAGTTGTTTTGATTTGCATTTCTCTAATCAATAATAATTTAGAGCATTTTTTCATATGACTAGAGATGGCTTTAATTTCTTCATCTGAGAACTGTCTGTTCATATCCTTTGACCATGTGACCTGCCTTTTAGACAAAGCTTACTATGTCTAGGAGACAGAACTTGAGGATTTTGGACTCTAAGGCAAGCCCTGTATCCTCCACTGCCTGAGCTAACAGTAACATGGAAAATAATAAGACTGAATGGAATCAATGTCTTACAATTAGGCTTTTAAAAATCAACTAAAAAAGATCATAGAGCCAGAGATAGCTAAGTGTCCAGCGGGCACCTGTGGACAGAGTGCTGGACCTAGAGTCTGGAACATGGGAGTTCAGATCATAGTTTAGACATTTCCTAGCTGTGTGACCTTGAACAAGTCACTTAATCTTAGTTTGCCTCAGTTTCCTCATCTGTAAAATGAGGCTAATAATAGCACATACTTCCTAGTGTTGTTTTGAGGATCAAATAAGATAATACCTAGAAAGTGCTATGTAAAAGTTAGCTATTATTGTTGTTGTAATTTTAGGTCCTGTCTCGATGTCGATTGGTATGAGATGCTCTCCTCATTGGTGAAGATGAGTGCCCTGCCCTGCAGGAGCTGGCTGGGCAGAGTTGGTGGGAGGACTCCAACCTTGATCAATCCTTTCCAGGACTCCTCAACTTCAAGTATTTTGAGGGAGCTCTTCAAGCATCAAATTGCTTCTGGCTTCCAACTTCAAGAGAGAAGATGGAAGAGGCCAATCCCAATTCAGGTTGCTGAAGGAAAGACTCTGGGAACCCATGAGAGGAGCCAGCAGCCTCCATCACGTCCTCACCCCCAGCTTGCTGCCCTTGAGATTTCAGCGAGTTTGCCTTTGGGTGAGATCTAGAACTCTCTCTTGGTCAAGTTGAGTTATCTGCTCCCAGTAGTAAAGCTCCTTAACTCTTTATTTATTTATTTATTTAATTTTGGCTAGGCAATGGGGTTAATTAAGTGACTTGCCCAGGGTCACACAGTTAGTAAGTGTCAAGTGTCTGAGGCTGGATTTGAACTCAGGTCCTCCTGAGTCCAGGGCCAGTGCTGTATCGATTGCACCACTTGTTTGGTCCTCCATCGCTGTTTATTGTCTGGTATATATTCTCCTGTGTTTATCTTCTCTGGTCTCCCTTTTGCTACAATTTAGATAAGTATGTATCTTTGCTTTCTGTGTTCATTGTAGATGTGGTATTAGGTGGGAAGGGGGTCAAGCTTTGGAGAGAGACTTGGGGTTTCCCTTCCTCCTCCAAAACAGACAAAGCAATCATAAATCATATTAAATCTGGTCATATCTCAGACTAACAATATTTAAAGGAAGAGATAGTTATAATTTTAGCCTGGTACCCCATCTCTCTGAGAAGAACAAAGTAGCCTCCGACCCTAACTTCTTGCTCCTGCTCTGGCAGGGATTAAAATCTTCCTTGGAAAAGGCAGATGGGAGAAAAGGCTAGAGGAGCCTAGCCTTCTTTTGAGCCACATGACAGCCCACATCACAAGTGGGCTTTACCTTCATGTAGAGGTTTCTCAGTCAGTCTCTCTCTTTCTCTCCCTCTCTCTCTCCCCTTGGGATCTCTAACACTACATTAATATCATTATTACTAGGGTTCCCCTTCTTCCCCCAAATGAGGAAATGGTTAGAAGTTGGATTGAAACTAATCACATTTCCTAAACGAATAATATTTAAGGGAGCAGATAGAATTAGTTCTATCCTGGTTACGCCCTGCTCCTCCCATGTCCATTTCAATTGTTATTGTATTATTAATTTATTAATATTGCTGTTTAGCGTTTCACTCGTGTCTGACTCTTCATGGCCCCCATTTGGGGTTTTCTTGACAGAGATCCTGGAGTAGTTTGCCATTTCTTTCTCCAGCTCATTTTGCAGATGAGGAAACTGAGGCAAACAGGGTGAAGTGATTTTCCCAGGGGCACACAGCTAGTAAATGTCTCAGGCCAGATTTGTACTCAGGAAGATGAGTCTTCCTGATTCCAAGCCTGGCACTCCTATCTACTGTGCCACCCAGCTGCTTATTATTATTGTTATTGTTGTTAAAATGCACATCAGAAGCAACCTAATCCAATCCTCTAATTATAATGATGAGGTTTGGAGAAGTAAATCAGCAGCACAATTAGAAAATCAGCCATAGTAGCTTAGCCTTAGACTACATTGGTAAGTTTAGAATAAAAGAGCTACTGCAGTACTTGTCCCATGGACACTGTCCTGGTCAGCCCACATCTGAAGAGTTGAGTTCAAGACCCAATTTTGGGAAGTTCCTCAGTTATCTGGAGAGCTTCCACAAGAGGGCGCAATAGGCTCATAGCTTCTGTGCTGGAAGGGACTTCATTTATAGATGAGGAAAACCTGCCACAGAGAGTTCAAATTATTGATAATAGTAGCTAGCATTTATGTAGCATCTCCAACGCTTTTAAAAATATTATCTCACTGGCCCAAGGACAGGTGGGTAGCCCCCATGGTATCTTAACCCAGATTCTCTTGACTCCAAAGCCCTTTCCATGGTACTGGGGCAACCAGGGCTCCAAACCATGACTGTGAGGAGCTATTGAAGGATGGCTTGGAGAGGCCCAAAGGTTGTCTCAAGTATTTAAAGAGATGTTGAGTGGAACAGAAGTAAACTCACTCTGCTTGGCCCCAGAGGGTAGAAACTGGAGTGATGGAGAGAAGACACAGAAAGGCAGATTTTAGTTCAGTTTAAGGGCAAAATCATAATAATGGGAGCTGTCCAACAGAAGGAAGACCAGAAGGAAGTGTAGACAAGGAGAACAGCTTTGAAAGCTAGATGTTGAATTTCTTTTATGTCTAAGAGGAAATGCAAGCTGTATAGTCTGCTGTACATTCAGAGGCGTACTGGAATTGGCTCGATCCATAAGCCCATTGTTAAATTTCAGGGTGAGACTCATGCCTCAGATACTGGCAAATATTATAAATGAAGGCTTGATTTGTTTTTTTGTTGAGTGTCTAGACTTAAGAAAATGACAAAGAAAATGTTGTTGATGATGAATAAACTGAAAAGTGTGTCTTGTGTATATTTATGTTTCAGAGATCCAGTTGTGAAACATTTATCTGAATACCCTGTGGATATTTCTTCTTGTTCTTGTTCTTTTTTTTTTTTTGTTCTGCTTTGTGTGTGGAAACACTTGCTTTGCTTGGTGTTTGTTAAGGTCAGAATTTTTGTTTAAAACACTATAAATGAACAAGCAAAAAGAGCGAACCACTAAGTCCCAGAGAGCATTATATACCTACTTGGTCCATGGCAGACACTGGTCAAGAGTCCCATTGGGGGAAAATGTCCCTGCCTGGCACTCTTCACAGATGGTGTTGTTTCTCTCTGTGCCTGAAAGAGGAGGAAATATGGGAGATTTGGTGCCAAGAATAGCACAGAATTGGAACAAAACATGGCAGCTAGGACAGTGTCCCTGGATTGGTTGGTCCCTTCCCTGGAAGCTCTGTGTCAGAGGAAAGAGTGTTACGAACAACTCTATGAAATACTCCCCAGACCTGTGGCAAGAAATTTATTTAAGAATATATACTCTGTTTTTATATCACCTACATTACCCAATGTTTCTTTTCCCTTACTAGTAAATATTTAACAACCAGCTCTCTGGGGGAGAAAAGAGGAATACAGGGCATGTTTTTATGATTTTTATATTTAACGGATGGAAAACTAACATTTCCCCCATCATTTTCTTAAATCTAAGCAATTAACAAAACAATAAATTAAGCCCTGATTTATACTGTTTCCCCATTTCTGAAGTGCCAATGCTCACATTGAAAATTTAACAATCCGCTCTTGGGGGAGCAGTTCAGGCTGGCTCTAGTGTACCCCTTATGGCCTTATCTCACCCAGAGAGCCATCTCTTACAACTGAGAATCTTTTAAAAAAGAGAAAACAGTTCAGGAAGCTAATCAACCTATGAAAAAAAGTGAAACATGTGTAGTGTTCCATACCCCTAGCCCCCCACTTCTACAAAGAAACTGGAGATTCAGGATGAAGTATGGTTGGTTTGCTGTTGTCCTTTGTTCTTAAATTTTTAATTTTCTTTTTCTTTTAGGCAATTTGGGTTAAGTGACTTGCCCAGGACCACACAGCTAGTAAGTGTCAAGTGTTTGTCCTGAGGCCAGATTTGAACTCAGGACCTCCTGACTTCAGGGCTGGTGCTCTATCTACTGCATCACCTAGCTGCCCTGTTGTCTTTTGTTCTTGAAGAAGACCAAAATGACACCACTCTGTTGGGGTCAAGGTACAGTGTGGCTGATCAGACCAACAGGAACTCAGAAGGCTCTACAACAGTCCATGTGGACAACCATAGTGGAGATGTCACTAAATTTGTTCATCTCACCTTTCTTTTGAGCTACTAAAATTCTGCTTCATTCATGGAGCTCAGTGCTTTTGACGTGGGCATGCTGTGCTGGGAAGTCCTTTGCTATATCATACAATCAATTCCAAAGTCCTTCAGAGAGACCCTGAGAATGTCCTTGTATTGCTTCTTCTAACCTCCATATGAGCACTTGCCTTGTGTGAGTTCTATGTAAAACAGTATTTTAGGTAAAGGTATATTTGGAATTTGAACAACATGGCCAGCCTATTACTGGAGAGTTGGGCTGTCTGCAGTAGAGTTTCAGTGCTTGGCAGTTTAATTTGAGAAAAGACCTCAGTGTCTGGTATCTTATCCTGCAAGGTAATTTTCAGAATCCTCCTAAGACAATTCAAATGGAAGTGATTCAGTTTCCTGGCATGGCGCTGGTATACTGTCCAGGCTTCACAGGCATACAACATTGAGGTCAGCACAATGACTGTTTAGGTGTTCAGTTTGGTAGTCAGTCTAATACCTCTTCTCTCTCACATTCTCCTTCAGAGCCTCCCAAACACTGAGCTAGCTCTGGCAATATTTGCATCAACCTCACCATCTATGTTCATATCCCTGGAGAGTATACTGCCAACATAAGTGAACTTATCTACAGCATTCAATATTTCTCTATTTGCTGTTCTACATTTGGATGGTGTGGTGCTGGCTGGTGGAAAACCTGTGCCTTCTTGGTGTTAATTGTTAGATCAAAATTAGCACTAGCAGCAGAGAATTGATCCATATTTTGGTGCATCTCAGCTTCAGAGCCCACATTAAGTGCACAATCATCTGTAAACAAAAAGTCACATACCAACTCTCCCTCCACCTTAGTCTTGGCTTATAGTCTTTTCAAGTTAAATAATTTACCATCAGTGTGTGATATTGATGCTATTTTCATCCTAGCTGAAGTTCTTTGACAACGCTGTTGAACACATCATGCTAAAAAGCGTGGGAGCAAGCACACAGCCCCGCTTCACTCTGCTGGTGACTGGGAAAGCACAAGAGCATCGTCTATTACGCAGAACCCAGGAAAGCATGCCATCATGGAATTGGTATATGATACTGATGAACTTCTCTGCGCAACTAAATAGGGGATAATGATAGCACCTATTTCCTAGGGCTGTTGTAAGAATCAAATGAAATAACATTTGCAAAGCACTTAGCACAGTGCCTGGCACATAGTAGGTGCTATGTAAATGCGTGTTTACTTATTACCATTTAGGTTATCTGAAACCACACGAATGATTTTGCCTGCTTATAGGATCATGGCTTTGGAGGTAGAAGGGACCTTAGAGATCACTGAGTTCTACTGCTACATTTTACAGGAGAGGAAACTGCTTAGTTGGCCCCACAGGTTACTTCTTGAATATTTGAAAGATCTTCATTTTGGGCCGTTAGGTCCTCTCTCCGTGAGTGCATGCAGGTTATGATCCCTTTCTATTTTATTTTATGGTTTTATTCATTTATTTTAAACTTAAGTACTAAAACTTAAATGCACAATAAGAAAAAGAAACATATTATAAACTTAGATACAAAATGAGAAAAGAAAAAAAAAAGCATTGTCATGTGCACAGCAGAACGTAAGAGAGGATTCAAATTACACAACAATCAATTTCCATTTCAAGAAAGCCTATGTAATAAATAGTACACATTGTGTTGGGTGCTATCCATCTTTTCTTTTCTTCCTTATAAATTTTCTTTTGTTCTGTGCTGTGCATTTTTACTTTATTTCCTTCCCCTTCCTCTCCCCCCTTTGCTGAGAAGGCTACAATTAAGCACACACACATATGTCTATGTATATACACACATACATATATATGCACACATATATACACATATGTATTTATACATACATATATATGTGTGTGTTTACATACATACACTTACCCATACATATACTTAGATGTCGATAACCATACTCATATACAGACACATACATTCATGTGCATTTATGTAAGGTGTACTATACTTGTTAATCCTCTGTTTCTCTGAGGGTGCATAACATATTCCTTCATAAGTCCAACTCTTTCCATATTTTTCCAAGTCCACCAACTCATCATTTCCTATACCACAACAATATTCCAACCTTATACTGTCTAGTTATTTTAAATAGTCTAAAACAATATTGATTAATATGGCTTAGATATATTATAATTTCCTATTGTTTTCTTTTGATTAAATCTATTTTAGCTTTAACTTTGAGATCATGATTACTACGCCTTGCTTTTTTTTCCTAATAAATTCTTTGATCTTTATTTTATATTTGTGTGTATCTCTTATTTACTATCCCTCCTGACTTCTGTAATCTAATACCTTGCCCTCTCATTAATTAACCTAATCCCCTGGCAAATAGCCCTCCTTTATCCTTCCTTCTCCCACCTTTCCCCTTACCTTCTTGTTTCTATCTGAATTTAGAAGACTTTTATAGCCTTTCAAACATGTTATTCCTTCTTTATCCCATGCCAATTAATCTAGACACCCTTCTATAACCTTCCCTTTTCCTACTCCCTCACTCTCTTATTTATTTATAAGTTTAGAAGACTTTTATTCCCTTCTAAGTGTATAAATTGCTCTCTCTTTAACCCAGATCTGATGTGAGTAGGGTTCCTTTTAAAAACCCCCCTCTTATCTTCTCCCCTTCCATATCCCCTTATCCCTTTATTCCTTTCTGAATCAGAAAAATTTTATACCCTTCTAGATATGTATGTATTGTTACCTTTTAAACCCATTCCTGATGAGAGTAGGGTTCCAGAACTACCAGCCCTCCTCCCCCATCTAAACCTCTGTGTCAGTTCTTCCTGTAGCACCTCATTTGTATAAGACAATTACTCTTTTTACCTTTCCCAAATGGTTTTACTTTTTAGAATCACATCATACTCAGGTCTACTCCATTCTTTCTTTTGAACTACCCAATTACTATCTTGGTCTCTTATACGTCTGCTAATTTCCCCTTGCCCAACTCTAATTTTTAAGGAGTCATTTTCTTCCTTAAGATTCTGGATCTTGGACTTCTGCTTCTGGGAGCCAAGATGGCGGAGTGAAAAGGTAGTTGTTCTCACTCTCCCCTATCAATCTCTGAAAACCCAGAAAATATCACCCCAGAAAAAAACCCTGGAACACCTGAACTAGAAGAAAGACGGGCAGCAGAAGTTCAGCAGCCCAGCAAACGGGTCTCCCAGTGCCTCACCAAAAATAAGGGAGGCAGAACTACAAGGGGCCCCAGGAAGATAAGTACCCTGTGGCATTCATCTGAAAGGAGGTGAAGAAAACAACCTAAAGGCTTCCTAAAGCCCTGGCCTTGCTGATTCCAACCCAACACCAGGTGAGCTGTAGGCCCTGCAGCCTCCAATTGTGAAGAAATCCTGAAGCCGAGGTGGTAGAACAGGCAAACACCAACACCTGGACCTCTGTGTGCCTCAGTGAGGGCAGAGGGAACCAGTGGAAACCAGCTCTGAAAACCACCAGGAGCCTCAGCACTCTACCTTGAAGGAATCTCCCAGTGCATTAGCAGAAAGGAGGGAGACAACACTGCAGGGGGCCCCAGGCAGATAAACACCTGCAGCACCATCTAAAAGGAGCTGAAGAAAGCTAAAGGAAAGGAAAAGCAGGCAACCTAGAATTGCCTGAAAGTTCCAGCCTTGCTGATTCCAGCCCAACACAAGGTAAGCTGCCAGAAACCTACAGCCTCCAATTCCAGCATAAGAGGCCCCAGCAAAAGCCAGTGACCAAGACCTAGGCTCCCAACACAAGAAGCTTGGGTCAGTACCCTCTGTTCCCCAGCAGGAGAGCTCAATCTCTTTAAAGGCCAGGGAATAAAGAAACACCATGAGTAAAAAGAAACGTACCATAGATTCATATTATGAGAAGAGTGAAGATCAAGACAGAAATTCTGAAGAGGACAACATTGTCAACAAACCCACATCTGCAACAACAAAAGGGAATATGAACTGGTCTGAAGCCCAAAAAGCCTTCTTAGAAGAGCTCAAGA